AAAGATAGGATAAGATGTCGCCAAATATCGATCGAAACTCATCACCAAAAGAGCGAATAATGAAAAACCAAGGAAAATATTTGTCGAACTTATGGAAATATGAAACCATCTAGCATTTACATCCAACTTTCCCGTCAACCATGACAACGTCACGACAAGCGCCGTCAATGGATTATTTGTTAAAACCGCGAACAAATCGCAACAGGACAAAACCATTATCATGAAGTAACATAATTTCTTTCGAAGTTGTACAGACCTCCAGAAACTGAGTATGACCAAGGAATTTAAACATATTCCTGAGAAAAAGAAGAATACGTTCACAGCAAATATGAATATCAGGTTGATAAAATAATAAGATTCCATCCTCGAGCGAGTTCTTCTGAAAAATTAAACATAAAACTAAAACGTTGTGTTTTAAATATGACACCTGAATTTCAGGGACTCAAGTGCATAAATGACTTATACAAGTACTTTGTTTTTCACCCTGCTCGGTTTCCTTTGTTCTTATCGGGGAATATATTCAATATTCCCCTCAAATCATTTTCCGTTTAATAATCCCCTCTAATATTCACCTGCAATGTCTTGGCAGCACAAAAAATGAGAAAAACAACATAACGAAGGCAATATGGCATTAAGAATTATTTCTATTCTGACTCATTAACGCGACCTCGCAATGTGAAAAATAAGTACGTTATTTTGAGGCACCGAGGGCATAAATGTGTTTATTCGCCTCGGCGCTGCGCGCCCCGGTGAATAAATCACATATCCCCTCGTTGCCTCAAAATAACCTATACTTATATATTTCATTTTCGTAATATGATAATATGAAGAAGAGATTATATACCTCTGTGCCTTGAAGCAATTTAGCAATATAAATCCATCTATAAATACATCCAGGCAATATAAATACAATTAGTTTTGTTTAGGTTTTTTACTGTAGTAATAGTGAATCAATATAAGATATGACCCTTGCTGGACCTCTAGGGAAAACAGTTTATGTCTGAAGTTTATTTCTTTAAATAAGTATAGATGTATTTAACTCGGCAGTATTAGTAAGATGATGATGATGACTTTATTTAACCACGCTAACATTGTCAGGTAAAGCTGGTTTTCACAATGGGCGTGTAAAATATTTACAAATAGTTACAAGTGCAATGAAAAGAATAAAGAATAAGCATGCAGAGATATATATATATATATATATATATATATATATATATATATATATATATATATATATATATATATATATATATATATATATATATATATATATAAATATTCAAAAAGTATATCTATTTACAAGATTCATGAATAATGTTATTTCAAAAGCGAAGAGTAGCGATTTTTGTTTTAAAACATGAAATCGATTTACTTTCTCTTATATACAGTATTGTGGTATGGAGTTCCCGATAGAAGCTCCATTGTACATAAAACTTGTTCGTATTTGGCTTTGGCAAACGTATTGAACTTGAGTTATCACGAAGATTGTGGTTTAATATTTCCGTTTTGAAAGTAAATAATTCTTTAAGCAAATTTGGTCCCATGTTATTGAGCGTTTTAAACATAACTTTTGCTTTGGCTTTACTCTTTGTTGTTTGAGCGGTTCCCATCCTAATATATTCAGTACTGTCTGTTGATCTAACTCATTTGACACAGGTGCTATATAATACGAGCAGCCCTGTTATGAAGTTTTTTGTAAACGTATTGATTGAGTTTCGCTGAATACATTCCAAACTTCACAACAGTAGCTGAAATGGGGTTGAATTATAGCATTGTACACCGATATGAGTGTTTTCTAATCAACAAACTCTTTAATGTGTTTGAGAGAAAAAATCGCAAATGATATCTTCTTACATGTTGTATCTGTATTATTTTCCAAGCAAGATTTTGATCAAGAGTCACACCTATAATGTTTTGCATTGAAAAACTTGATTGGTTTGTTTTGAATATGAATTTTAAGCTGTTGAGCAGTTGCTTTTTTTAGCATTGGTTTAGTTCCAATAATTTGAAATATGGTTTTCGCTACGTTCAAGCTCAGTTTGTTTGCCGTGAGCCATTTCCGAAGACTTTCTAAATCCGAATTTACTGCATTTTCAATATCGGTTAAACACTCACTGTGATATTAGTGTCATCAGCAAACAGCCGGGGTTTTGTTTTATTTATAGACATGGAGGTAAATCATTAATATATAGCAGAAAAAAGTGGCTGGCCCCTAGTATAGACCCTTGGGCACACCACATTTTTATACCATTTTCACTTGAAATTGAGCCATTGACCTCACGCACATCTTTGTGTACGATCAGTTAAATACGACTTAAGCAGTAAGTCCAGTAACAATGCATTTCCTGTGATTCCAACAAGCATTAGTTTTTCTAATAAGATTTCATGGTCAACAGTATGGAAGGCTTTTTTTAGGTCTACAAATACAGCCAAATTGAACAATTTTTTATCCATGTTAATGTACCAATCATTTGTACAATCAAGCAGAGCTGAGGCAGTTGAATGAAATTTTCTGAAACCATATTGATGTTCAGAGAGTAAGTTGTTTGCAGTCAAATATTCATAAAGTTGAGTATGTAAGATGCGCTCCATAACTTTACTAATGGCAGGCAAGACAGAAATTGGTCGATAATTTCCTGGCAAATTTCGTTTGCCGTTCTTGAAAAGGGGAATTACTCTTGCAATCTTCCACTCATGTGGAAAAATACATAGGACAATTGCTTGATTAAAAATGTAAGTCAATGAATCAGAAATCAATGGTGCTGCAATATTAATTATCTTGCTTGATATTTAATGTAGGCCAGTAGATTTGCTACCAGATAGTTCACGTAGTAAAAAACAAACATGGTTTACCGAAACTTATTTGAATGCAGTAAATTCAGAATTAGTTTTGTTAAAATGGCATTCTGTTGAACCAATTTTTTCAGCTAAATTTGGTCCAATATTTGAAAAGAAAGTATTGAAGCCCTCAGCAATATCATTGGGGCTAGTCAATTTCATATCATTTCTCAGCAATATCATTGGGGCTAGTCAATTTCATATAATTTCTCAGCAATATCATTGGGGCTAGTCAATTTCATATCATTTCTCAGCAATATCATTGGGGCTAGTCAATTTCATATCATTTACGTTTAATTCATTTACTTTAGTTGGTTGATTATGTTTACCAAACAAAGTATTAATTGTCTTCCAAGTAGCTTTGGGATTTTGCTTTTCTGTAGAGATTTTTTTTAGTAATAATCTCTTTCGGCCTGTCTTAGTAGAGTGTTGGTTTCATTTCTGGCTCTTTTACAGTTTTCCCAATCTGTTTCAAGTTTGGTAATGATTGCGTCTCTTTTCAAGTCGTCTCTTGCAGTCATTAAATGTCTTATATCACTACTAATCCAAGGAGATCGTTTAGATTTTATTTTCTTACTTTGCAGTGGAGCATGTTTATCAGACTCAAATATCAAACAATAATTATTATTATTATTACAGATAGAGAGAGCAAGATAAGTCAGAAGAGAATTAGCAAAGAGGATAAAAAGAAAATAGCCCAGGAAGATAAGAAGATAAGTAATAAATTTAGTATAGGCAGCTAGTTTATAGGGTTGGGTTTTGTCACATTTAATTTGAGTGCAGCTTCCCATAGCAGGTATATATACAGGTGGACATTCGAACGTAAATTCGTAGCTTACACAGTCAGCAACCTTTTTAAACGTATCTGGCGGTTGAGAAACACAAAATAATAGTTAAGTATTATCAATTTAAATACAATTGTCATTGATGCTGTAAAATTGACGCCATATTTATACAGCCAATGTTAACAAAACGTACTGAACTTCAGACATCATTTTCTCTTTGGCGTACCATCTAAAACCTCTTCATTTTAGCATAAATTTACAGATAAAGCACTAAACATACTTCTTAAGTTTGCTTGCCTCTTGAGAAACGTTTCAAAAATATAAAAATTTGAATATAGACTTTACATACAAAAGCTTCTCCTCTTAACCAGACTGTTAGGTGGATACATTACCAGGGGCCTAGAACGTGTTAAACATTGGCGAATCACTCGCTAATTATTTATAAAAAAATTAAAATGAAATGAATATGTCCACGGGCATCGCAATAGGGGATTACCCCCCTCCCCCCGCCCCTCTCTAATTGAGATGCGTGGAAAGGAAGTCATTATAGAATGTCTAAACAATATCTTAAGTATTGCACTCGTTATGTCAAACCTTATCCGAAATGCATACGTTTTTTAAATGTACAGAAATTATTGTTGCTAACGATTTATGCCTATTGAGGTGGTTAGTTCTTAACGAAATTTACAAAGACTTAAACATTTTTGTGGGTGTACACGCATGAAACAAGCCTGATCTGATAAACTGACCTTACATACATAGTTACCAATATTTGAATTGCAAAAATGACTGGTATTTTTATCGATTTGTTTACTCAAGCGGTCGCTTCGAAGATAAAGTCTAAAAAATATGGCGATCTTTCATATCATTCTCCTGCTATTTCTCGCGCAGTATTTTGAAGAAACGGAACAGTCGAAGTCGCTTTATTTCGGAAGCAAAACAGTTTATAACTACCAGCCATCAAAACTTTCGCCAGAATACCCGAAAGGATGCAGGCCAGTTCATATCGATTACATCTCGCGACACGGTTCGCGATTTCCTAGCAGTGGTGATCGGGAAAAGATAAAGAAGCTTTTAAAAAAACTAGACGACGTTTACAAAACAAGTTCACCATTTCGTTACAAAAACCTGACGCTACCATGGAAGAGATGGCTCGCGTGGAATGTCGCAAAATCCAGTGAATTATCTCCACGCGGGGAGCACGAACAGTATGAGATCGCGAAACGCTGGCGTTTACATTTTCCCGAAGTATTTGATAAACAGTATTGGAATAAATACTATAAATTCATTGCGAGGGATAAACGACGCACTTCGCAAAGTGCAATGGCATTTGCACTCGGGCTCTTTGAAAATGAAACTGGTTCGCTTGGTAAGTATTTACTTGATAGTAACGAGCTTATTTGTATAGTAATATTTAGTTCAGGTTTCCTCCTGTAGTAACACTGGATCAATAAGAAGTGATACTTACTGGACCTCTAGGAAGAACAGTTTAGAACTGATAGAGATATCCAGTATAAATAAAGTTAGTTTAGTTTAGGTTTCGTCCTGTAGTAACACTGGATCAATAAGAGATGATCCTTACTGGACCTCTAGGAAGAACAGTTTAGAACTGATAGAGATATCCAGTATAAATAAAGTTAGTTTAGTTTAGGTTTCCTCCTGTAGTAACACTGGATCAATAAGAAGTGATACTTACTGGACCTCTAGGAAGAACAGTTTAGAACTGATAGAGCTATCCAGTATAAATAAAGTTAGTTTAGTTTAGGTTTCCTCCTGTAGTAACACTGGATCAATAAGAAGTGATACTTACTGGACCTCTAGGAAGAACAGTTTGGAACTGATAGAGCTATCCAGTATAAATAAAGTTAGTTTAGTTTAGGTTTCCTCCTGTAGTAACACTGGATCAATAAGAGATGATCCTTACTGGACCTCTAGGAAGAACAGTTTAGAACTGATAGAGCTATCCAGTATAAATAAAGTTAGTTTAGTTTGGGTTTCCTCCTGTAGTAACACTGGATCAATAAGAGATGATCCTTACTGGACCTCTAGGAAGAACAGTTTAGAACTGATAGAGCTATCCAGTATAAATAAAGTTAGTTTAGTTTAGGTTTCCTCCTGTAGTAACACTGGATCAATAAGAGATGATCCTTACTGGACCTCTAGGAAGAACAGTTTAGAACTGATAGAGCTATCTAGTATAAATAAAGTTAGTTTAGCTTAGGTTTCCTCCTGTATAGTAACACTGAATTAATATGAGATATATCTTACTGGACCTCTAGGAAGAACAGTTTAGAACTGATAGAGCTATCCAGTATAAATAAAGTTAGTTTAGTTTAGGTTTCCTCCTGTAGTAACACTGGATCAATAAGAGATGATCTTTACTGGACCTCTAGGAAGAACAGTTTAGAACTGATAGAGCTATCCAGTATAAATAAAGTTAGTTTAGTTTAGGTTTCCTCCTGTAGTAACACTGGATCAATAAGAGATGATCCTTACTGGACCTCTAGGAAGAACAGTTTAGAACTGATAGAGCTATCCAGTATAAATAAAGTTAGTTTAGTTTAGGTTTCCTCCTGTAGTAACACTGGATCAATAAGAGATGATCCTTACTGGACCTCTAGGAAGAACAGTTTAGAACTGATATATCCAGTATAAATAAAGTTAGTTTAAATAGTTTCTCCCTCACAGTGGAATGACTTGACTTGACTTCTTCCCATCCCGCTCCTTCATCCTCCTCCTCAACATCTTCCTTCATTTTCTGTTTTGCTTGCTTCTTTTTGTTAAGTTTCTTTTCTTTAATCTTTTCCTCATCTTCATTTTTGTCTCTGAACAATAAATATCGACAACATTTGACCCGCAAACTCTGGGCTTGACACTGGCTCCGACACCCTGGGTGTGAGCACACTGTACCTCTTTAAGAACATAGATGCTGTAACCTTTCCTCCTTGGGGTATATCCAGTTCACTGTCACTGCCGCTGGATGACTCGGCAATATAGTCACTATCATAGTCGTCACTGTCTGAATCCTGTGGAAGATAAAACTATTTAGAGAAAATCCTTGATTTCATTGCTTGTTTTAATATAAATGTTGAAATTGAGATGGGAATGGCGTGCACCTTGGCATCAGAATAAAAAGCCAGAAGGGCGTCCAGGCGTCCTGGGACACCCCTAGAACGAAAAATGGACGCCCAAATTCTGGGGAAAAAAAGAAATTATTTTCAATGATTTCCCTTAGTATATTAATATATCTGAAACGAAATAGCTTCAATTCTCATTATTATTATTATACATTTGACATTTTGATCAATTTGATGGTGTACCTGGCTGAATGAAAATGTCGTAGTTAAGTAAATAGTTCAATCGAGCTTGGAACAGATACAGTAACATAAACTTCAAAGGTTTTCCAGAGGAACGTTTTCTCAACCCCCCCCCCCCTTTACTGTAGATCTGCCCCTGCTTCATTTATATATGCTTATTGTAAATTTATATTGTTCTGCTGTTAGAGTTTTAGCAATGCCTTATAATGTCATGCTTATCAAGCCAAATAAAGCAAGCTTCAAACTGTACGTGGTTTCGACCAATACCTCATCTTTGTCTACTTTAACAGCTTGTGGTTCAGGTTTGCTGGGAACAGCAATCCCATCAGCCTCATCTTCAGAATCTTCTGTGAAGTAGTAAAAATTAGACAATTTAACCTAGCTAGCCTCAACTGAACTTGGCTGAAACTTTAAAACCGTAAGATAGGTTACATCACCATATATGTTTTTTGTAGAATTTTAGAATATAAATTTCCATACAAATTGCTAAAGTACATAAACTTGCCTGATTTTTCCTCCTCTTCCTCTTCTCCTTCTGAATCTTGAGGATTTTCTCGATACTTTTCAATGTCATTTTCAAAAGTTTTATTGTATTTTTTCACTTTCTGTCTCAACGCTGTGAGAGCCTGGAATGACAGCAGTACTCGTTGTCACAACTGTTAAAACATTGCATAAATTAAAAGAATAATTTATTTATTAATACCAAACAAACCTTTGCATTTAATTTGCTCAGCTTTTTCCTGCCTTCAGCATCCTCCCAATTCTATTAATATCATTGCATAGTAAGCTTATATATAATCTTATTTAAAACAAGTGAAACAACAAATTAAAGTAATATGAAGGCTTTTTCTAGTCTAATATTTACTGTTCATAAACCAGAACTGTCTATGCAGTGTCTACTGTATCTCCACTGGCACAAATGCCGTAGGCACACAGCGCAAGCAAAGCCTGCAATTTCATTGTTCAGCAGATTAATACATAAATATATTGGCTTTTGTATCGTATTAAATTCGTATTTAATTCAGGAAATAGTTTTAATTCTTTTAAATACTATATGTTCTAGGGAATTGAAAGGATTTTTTAGGATTTTATAAAAGCTATATGCACATGTGAAGCAATATCACAATAGTCATCGAGCATGACGATAATTTCGATATATCGTTGCTCAAGTTTCCACCTTCGATACGATAATCGTGATTGAAAATATCGCCCCCAACCCTAGTTGTGTTATTAGTGAGTTTAAGCAAGCAACAGTTTTATCAAGAACTAATATTAGCGGCATTTTGCATCATAGCAGTCGTGTGAGTTTTAATCCAGCCCCCCCCCCTTGGTAATCTGACATCTGTGTTGACAAAAATGTCGCTTGCTTAAGCCCGCTGTTAACAGTGTAAGAAACAGAGGTTATTTGGTAATTTGGACAAGCTAACCCTTTTTAAGAATGTCTGAATTTAACTCATTAAGGCCCGGTTTAGACGGCGAACTTCTCATGCGCCGAATCTAATGCAAGAATTAAGTGCGACGCTGGAGCGGCGTCTAAATCAATTAAGTTCGACAGGTTTTGATTAAGTTCGACATGACTCGAAGATGCGACAAGACAAGTCGTATATGCGACACAGGTTCGACATTGATTTAGATGCTGTGCTTTTCATGCGCCGAACCTAATGCATAATTATTTTTTAACATCATAATATGATTATCATATATTTGCATTGTAAATATTTCCAATTTAATGTCTTCGCAATTTGGTACGGTGCAATTAAGTTCAACGTCTAAATCAGTTTCCGATATTTTGCCGTATCTACGACAATTAGGTTCGGCGCATGAGAAGTTCGCCGTCTAAACCGGGCCTAAGTGAATTTTATTTTATTATTTTAGTCTGAATAATATTAATGCCAGATGATTTTACTCATGAAGGAGAGACTAATGATTATCAATAATGGGTTAAGGTAGATAAAGTATGTGTCTCAGTATTGCCATTTCTGCATTCTGACATTTTGAGTGGCAATGCATTCTAATTTATTATTTTACTCTGTCTAATGCCAGATGATTTTACTCATCATTACACTTTGGATCCAGAACGGATGCAACAATGGTCTTACTGTCGTTCCAATTGAAGTGTTGCTCAAATATTGATTCAATACATTACCTCATGTCAACTGACCAATTCATTTCATCAAGTTCCTCGAGATATTCATACACTTCCTAGTATAATTGTAAACTTCCTGTTGAATAGTTTGAATGCACCAATCACCTTTGTTGTTTGTGCAACTAACCAATCATAAATAGAAAGGAAGTGACTGGAAATGATCAAATACTTGGAATTGGCTCTTTCACAGAAAGTGTATGAACATCTCGAGGAACTTGATCAAATGAATTGGTCAGCCCGAGGTAATGTATTGAATCAATATTTGAGCAACACTTCAATTGGAACGACAGTAACAGTGTAAGAACCAAAGGTTATTTGGTAATTTGGACAAGCTAACCCTTTTTAAGAAAGTCTGAATTTAACTCATTAAGTGAATTTAATTTTATTATTTTAGTCTGAATAATATTAATGCCAGATGATTTTACTCATGAAGGAGAGTGACGGTCGTCAATGGGTTAAGGTAGATAAATGATGTGTCTCAGTATTGCCATTTCTGCATTCTGAAATTTTGAGTGGCAATGCATTCTAATTTATTATTTTACTCTGTCTAATGCCAGATGATTTTACTCATCATTACACTTGGGATCCAGAACGGATGCAACAATGGTCTTAAACTCCTGATACTAGCTGTGATTATCACACATATTAACTAAGGCAGACCTCTTTAATAAAATCTTCTAACTCAACCAAGCATTTGATAAACATGGTTGGGATTCCCTCCTTGTCAACAACATTTTTTGCCTTTGTGAATGCTCGCCCGAGGTTTTCAAACTCTGCAAATAAAAAATAGATACAGTACAAGGGTTACATGAAGAGTGTGTTACAGAACATTGATGAATGAACACAGCAGCTGATTTTTGGTTGATTTGTCTTGAATTATACACAGGTTCGAGGTTAGCCACAATATACCTGTAAGGATCTTTGACATATCTTTGATTTTCTTGTGATTTTTGAGTTGTTTTGTGATGCTTGAGATTTCATCAAATCTATACCATAAACATTGTTCAAATAATCTCAATATAGTCAAGTAATAATATTCAATATTACACTTGTTAAGCATACCATAGACGGAGCTTCTGAAAAATATTTGCACCCCCTCCAAAAAGTTTTCCACCACACCTAGAGAAATTTGCACACCCCCCCTGCTGCAGCTTGCTCAGCGGCACTACACATCACTCGCCCCCCGCCCCCCTTAATTTTTGGCACCCCCCCCCAACAGAACAACACACAAATAAAAACATCAAAGCTTTCCACTTGCTTGTGCTAATTGTGTCGTAGTGAAGATAAGGGTTTATGGATGATTCCTATACGCCACAATTTATTTGGCATTACCGTTTATCTTTCTGACTTCTAACGACTCGTTTAGTATCTTCATCCTCCTCATCACTGAACAGAAAATGAGCTCTGGTGGCAAAAATATGAAAACATTAGTTTGATATATGGTTAGGGGTCACATCTTTTAGCAGGTACACCTTCTCGCATATATTAAATGCAATGACCCTGTTGTGGACCCTATAGATCACAAAGTATATACAATACAGAGGTCCCACTCAGCCAAAAACCCTTAACTGCCACCACGCCATGATTCATAATTGCAAAGCACTTGTCATGTCCTTAATAGCCAGTGCATTTATGAGAGGCACTCACCCCTGAACACCTAAGCCAAGCCGGCCATTTTGAATATGCTCAGGGGCTGACGGCCTTTCCTTAGCACACTAGACATGAACATGGCAAGTCCTTCGCGACTGCGAATCATGACGAGATGGCAGTTATGATTCGCTAGCACCAAGTCAGACTTCTGTAAGTGTTTATTCTGTGTCATCATCACATAAAACAGAAGCGATGTATTTTTCAACAATTGTGATTATAAAAACTACATGAAAACACCTTACAGTAGTCTTTATAATCTAAACTGTCTACCTACGGTACACACCAGGTCTACATATCAATGATGATGTCATTGATATCAATGACAATATGGATTATGGACATTTTTGTTTTTACCTGGAAGCAACTGTAGCTGCTGGTTTCTGTACTATAACTTGGGCGTCGTCGCTAGATTCATCTTCACTCCCTGATGAACGAGCAGTAAAGAATCTTGACATCGTTTATACAAAATAAGAGATTTATTTCTTAATTTTCTTCACAAACGTGTTTTAGACACGACATGCTAAACGTAAAACGTAGCGCGCGGGGACTGAGAACAACTCGAATGAAATATTTATAATTTTGCAATTTTTATTATTTCACAAGTAAAAACGCAAAATTTTAAACATACAAAACTATAAAAATGGTTTTAGAGGAACAGAAGATAAGTCAAATTTGAAGATTCGCTTAATTTTCTTGAAAATTAAATAAAATATAAATTTAATCATTTTACATGAGGCTGCACTATTATATAGGCAGCGGGAATATTTGGGAGATACTTCATTTTACACGATTTTCATATACAAACTCACATGGTATTTTGATTTTAAATTTTACATGGTTTTTGTTGGTTACAATTCGCCGTATATTGGAGTTCAATTGACTGGGAGAGGTAAGAGTCATTCTGAGGTAAGAGTATCATAAAACATTTACATGAAATAGATCTGTTAGATGATTCATATATTTTAAAATCATATAAATTTATGTGTGTTCAACTTGGCTACAAATGTGAATAAAATGTTGATGTATGACTTTATACTGTAATATTTTATAAATCTTGAGCGATCTGTACCATTGTAGGTGGTGCTAAAAACAGCTGAAACTGAGATGTAGAGGGATTCAACTATCTGAAAAATACAATTAAAACTTCAACATTTTGAGTGCCCTTTGTCGACTCTACTGACTTTGTGGCTGTCGACAAATAGGTTTTGCCACGCTTAACAGCAAGTTGGCTGTTAAGGGGGGTCATGGCCAATGCCGTTAAAATTTTCTAATTGGTGAAAACTCACCTTAACTTTGCTAAAACCAACCAATTCCACAGGCATTTAATAGGACAAGTGCGATTTAACTATGAGTTAAAAAGCTGTTTCATACATTAAACTGTGCACAAACAGTAGCATAGCCAGCCCAACGATTTAGTCCCGCTATGCAAATTCTAAAGAAATGAATAATGATTTTGAATTTGCAAACCGGGACTAAATTGTCGGGGCTAGCTACACCACTGCGTAAAAAATATTGTTTGTTCCGTAGACTTGGTCCAAGTCTCTCTTTCATTGTCATATCGATCCACTATAGTATACATTACATGACGTAGTACGGAGGGGCGGAGCGAGAAAGAGAGATGTAATGTCATGTAATGTACACTATAGTGGGTCGATACAAAAGAGAGACTTGGAGCAAGTCTATTCCCAAGGTTGCAGATATTTCTTTTTTGTTATTTGGAGCTTGCCGCTAAGGGGGAATGGGTTGCGACCTTAATGGCCAACTTGCCATTAAGCGTGACGTAACCTATTTGTCGACGGACCCTTGCTCGAGACGTCAACGTTTTACTTGTATTTTCATGTCTAGTTGAATTCCTGACCATCTCATTTTCTTAATATTTTATACCATTTTATTCAGAATATCAAATCAATCTCCCCACTGTATTTTAAGGCTTAAGTTTAATTCAGAAATTTCACTGATTACTAAGTATTGATAAATTTCGTGGCATTTTCTAGACTAGATGCATGAAGTTACATTAAAGCTGTAAGGTTTCAAACATTCATTATGGGGAAAAAAGGGAAAATTGGAAAACAGAGGAGGGATAAATTTTATCACCTCGCAAAAGAAACAGGTATATCTACTGATAACAGTATTTTATAGGGGATAAATATTGATTACAGTGCATCTATTCAGTACTATACTTGAGATCAGTTCACAAGTCTAGTATACTTGAGATCAGTGTATGAGTCTATTCAGTTCTATACATGAGATCAGTGTGTGTTATCTATTCAGCAGTATACTTGAGATCAGTTTGTGTATTGTCTATTCCATGCCACACTTGAGATCATTGTATAATGAGTCTATTCAGTAGTATACTTGAGATCAGTTTGTATATTGTCTATTCAGTACTTTACTTGAGAACATTGTATAATGAGTCTATTCAGTAATATACTTGAGAACAGTTTGTATATTGTCTATTCAGTACTACACTTGAGATCAGTGTATAATGAGTCTATTCAATAATATACTTGAGATCAGTTTGTATATTGTCTATTCAGTACTATACTTGAGATCAAAGTATGATGAGTCTATTCAGTAATATACTTGAGATCAGTTTGTATATTGTCTATTCAGTACTACACTTGAGATCAGTGTATAATGAGTCTATTCAGTAGTATACTTGAGATCAGTTTGTATATTGTCTATTCAGTACTACACTTGAGATCAGTGTATAATGAGTCTATTCAGTACTATATTGAGATCAGTTTGTAAAATCTCTATCCAGTCCTATAATGAGATCAGTAGCTATATTCTATTTATCTGTCATCAGGTTATCGTGCTCGTTCGGCTTTCAAACTCATTCAGTTGAACAGAAAGTTTGAATTTCTGCAATCATCTCGTGTTTGTATTGATCTATGTGCAGCGCCTGGAGGATGGTAAGAATTTCTTACTATGCAAATTTATAGGTAGGAGAGGGATGGCCCAATACCAAAAAGGATTCATATTGTCAATATGTAATACACCCTTTCAATAATTACATCACACATACTTTTTGGTCATGCAGCTTTGCCCTCATCAGTAAATTATGCAAGGTGATTGGCTCATGATTCATGATAGCGAGGCTCCCAGATCAAATGACGTAATTATCGAAAGGTTGTATTGTGAATCATTACCCCCTCTCCTGAAAAACCAGCACCTTGCTGTCCAGATGTCCATAGGTATCTGTCCAACGCCAGAAGATTTTAATTGTGCGAAGAGTGCTGCCAATCAATGGGTAAACTAATTGGTTTTTGAAACTTCAACAGGCTACAGGTTGCTTCAAAATTCATGCCAGTCTCAAGTATTATCATAGGTATGTCCGAACAGTTAATTGTAACAATTATTCAACAACAATAATTCCAACAAGTAAATTAATATACGTCAGTCCAAGACTATATTGTATTGCATTAATTTCTTTTTCCCAGGTGTTGACTTGGTCCCAATAAAACAAATAGCAAATGTGATTACATTACAAGATGATATCACCACGCAAAAATGCAGACAGGTAAACATCAAGTTTTGTCTGGTGCATGATGGAGATTTTGTTGGATTTGTTGGATCCAGGATTTTGTTGGATGCTGGAGGATTTGTATGTGTGTGTGTCTGTCTGTCAGCTCAAACTCAAAAAATATCCAACGTTTTAATACGAAAATTTGAGGTACTAATGGACATTGGCCAAGCACAAATGGACCATTCCCAATGGACGACTTGCGCTTTAGAAAAAATTTTAATCTGGGAATAACAAAGGATATTTTCGGAAAGAAGTTATCAAAATTAGAAAAACTGCAAAGTTTGGTTGCGAAATGTTGTAAAATACGGAAAATATAGCCTCGAATATAGCCCTGCGAAGTTGGCAAATTTGTATACATTTCTATTACGTGCGGAAATTGGTAACTAATTTAGTTACCAATTCACGCACGTAATACAAAAGTATACAAATTTGCCAACTTTGAAGGGCTATATTTTCCGTATTTTACAACATTTCGCAGCCAAACTTTGTAATATTACTAATTCCAAGACGCTCTTTCTAGCTGTGGTGATAGATTTCGTTGTTCTTACTTAGATTAAAATTTAGTCTAAAGCGCAAGTCGTCCATTAACCAAAATTTTGAACTCAACGAGTCTAGACAAAAATTTCATCACAGCTTGAAAGAGCATCACAAAATTAGTAATATTCCAAAGTTTCGTTGCAAAATGTTGTAAAATGCGGATAATATAGCCTTGCGAAATTTGCAATTTTCAGTCATTTTAGATTACAAACGGGAAATGGTTACCACTTCTTTGCGTAATACGAAATGATTGAAAAACGGCAAACTTCGCAAGGCTATATTATCCACATTTTACAACATTTTGCAATGAAACTTTGGAATATTACTAATTTTCTGATGCTCTTTCAAGCTGTGATGAAATTTTTGTTTAGGCTAGTTAAGGTCAAAATTTTGGAAAAGTGGTAACCATTTCCCGTTTGTAATCTAAAATGACTGAAAATTGCAAATTTCGCAAGGCTATATTATCCGCATTTTACAACATTTCGCAACGAAACTTTGGAATATTACTAATTTGTGATGCTCTTTCATGCTATGATGGAATTTTGTCTAGACTTGTTGAGATCAAAATTTTGGTTAATTGGGGAATGGTCTATTGATTAAATGTTGGTTCAATTTGGATGAGAAATTAGCAAAAGTTTGTTCAGCTTTGTCGGGCAGACTAAACTGAATGCATAATTAGCCCATTGTGTAATGTATGTATGATACATAAATTAATTTGTGGAGGTATGCAGTTATGGTTATGATTGGTTTTAATATTTTAGGACATAAAGAAAGAACTAAAAACGTGGAAAGCAGATTGTGTGTTAAATGATGGTGCTCCGAATGTTGGTGCTTCTTGGGCACACGATGCCTTTACACAAGGTTTGCAATGGAAAATTTTCACAATTAGCTTTGTGACTACTCATATCATACACTCACTGTGGATTATAACGATTCATATTATGGTGTACATGCAGAGAGGTGTAGAAAATTTGAAAACAATACTTTTCAGTTGCATGGTTTGTTGGCACTGTTTACCAAAAGTTAAGTATGGGCGCTTTCCATTTAATGGCCTGACCGGTCAGACCCGAATTCTTTTCTCCGTATCAATGGAAAGATCTGGTCTATGTTTCTCAAATATCTAGCGAAAATGGACCTCATTCTAATGTTATCTAAATTTTCCGGTCAGATAGGTCCGAAGCCCAAATGCTTTGTGTTCCATTCAACAATTTGACCGTTCTGGCCGTGTTAATGGAAAGCGCCCTATGATTGGTCAGGTGAGAAGTGATCAGCACATGCAACCAATCAATGTAAATATTGAAAAGCTGACCGGTTGTTATAATCCAAGTCAACCTGTAGTTATTGGAATGAGAAAATAATGTTAGTCAAATATAATGGACCATTTGCATTATAGACTAAATTTTGATCTCAACAAGTCTAGACAAAAATTTCATCACAGCTTGAAAGAGCATCACAAAATTAGTAATATTCCAAAGTTTCGTTGCGAAATGTTGTAAAATGCGGATAATATAGCTTTGCGAAGTTTGCCGTTTTTCAGTCATTTTGTATTACAAACGGGAAATTCACAGCCCCAAAGGGTATTGGGCAGATTTGGGCTGTCAATTTCCCCCGCGTAATGCAAAATGACTGAAAAACGGCAAACTTCGCAAAGCTATATTATCCGCATTTTACAACATTTCGCAACGAAACTTTGGAATATTACTAATTTTGTGATTCTCTTTCAAGCTGTGATGAAATTTTTGTCTAGACTTGTTTAGATCAAAATTTAGTCTATAATGCAAATGGTCCATTGAGATCAATTTTCTTATAATAATAATACAATTTCTGTTTTCAGCCCATCTGACACTGGCTGCTTTGAAACTTGCATGTGATTTTTTAAACAAAGGAGGATGGTTTGTCACGAAGGTTTGTTATCGGTCCATTGATGCATCTTATGTCTGCTGAAGTTACATCGTTCAAACAGTTTGTTTATTTTTTCCAGGTGTTTCGTTCAAAAGACTACCAACCCTTGATGTGGGTTTTCAATCAACTCTTCAAGAAAGTTCATGCCACCAAACCACAAGCTTCCCGTAACGAATCCGCAGAGATTTTTGTCGTTTGTCAGGTGTGTGCATACAATGAGGCTCTTAAGAGACACTCTTGACTCTTGCAACATATTTCTTGTCGAAATATATTGATCACCCACAACCTCGTTCCCAGGCTCTTGCCTCTTATGGAGGAAAGACCCAGGTAGGATCTTGTCACGTGATCTGCTAAAATCTAGCCGATTTCGGGTCCTTCCTCGGGTAGAAGAATTTGCATCACAGATTACGTCATCAGTTAGTTATAGTGATTAGTGTTGGGGTAAGGGTTAGGGTTAGATTAAGGATTAGGCTTAGAGATAGGGATTGGGTTATATCTGACGCGACAAACAACACAACTAGCCGATCACGTGATCAGTTCTCCTCTACCCGAGGAACTAGCCCAGATTTCTAATTAACTATCTTGGACTCCTTTAAAATCAAATCGAACTTGCAAAACGAAATGCAAGTTATAAATTAAAGTATAAATATTTATCATAAATTAAAAATCTGCTAGATTTTAGCCGATCACGTGACCACCTCCTACCAGAGTCTTTCCTTCACAAGAGGCAAGAGCCTGGGAACGAGGTTAGATCAGCCAGTCCGGCAGTCCCAACAGTCCAGAGACAACAAATTTTTCGTTGTACTCTGCAGTGTCAGAATAAGATGAAACTAGTTTTTCAGGCTTATTTACCTGTTGACTTTTTAAGTTGGTAAAACTGTTGCAGGGTTACAAAGCTCCACACAAGATAGATCCAAAGTTACTTGATTGGAAATGCATATTTGAAGAAGTGAATCAGGAACCTACAAAACAAGCAAGTCTACTGAGTGATAAGGTAAAACGTCCAGTATTCTACTAACAATAAACTGCCGTGGTCTTGAACGTATTTTTTATGTAAAAAAAAATTATCAATTTGTTTTAGAAACGAGCTCGCGCGCAAGGTTATGAAGAAGGGGACTACAGTTTGTTTAAAACTTTAGCAGTCACAGAGTTTGTGAAGAGTACGAAACCACTGGATCTGTTGAGCTCTATAAATAAAGTACGTATTATTTGAAGCCACATTATTTTCGAATGGTAGTATGGACCCATTGCACATGACGTCACAGCGCCGGTCTGTGCATAATATAACTTTTGTAAACAAAGCAAATTTTGTAAAACTTTATAATAATTTTGTATTAAAATGGTTAATTTTTGCGCTGTATGTGTTGTTGTACCCGAACATATATTGTTAGGGAGTATCTGGAGGACACTCTAATGATTTGTGACGTCAGTGCAATGGGTCTATAGTAAACTACGTTCATTTGTGAAACTCATTAATAATTCATGAAGAAAACACAAAATATATCTTTTGTATATCTGATACAAATTCAAGCTGATTTACATAAATTTTAAGTTCAATTTTCTCACCAAATATTATTCATTAATTTTAAATTGATGAAGAATACGAATGTTCTCATCAAGACGTTTCACAAGATATTTATAACATTCGCGTCTGTGTTGTATCGGATAACCTATACATATTGTAAATAGTACATACAAAAACTATTGTAGATTGTGTTTGATGATAAAAGATATCTACAACATGATCTTACCACGGCAGAAATCCAAGAATGTTGTAAGGATATCAAAGTGTTGGGGAAAGGAGAAGTCAGGTTTGTTTAGCCTGCGTGCAGCCTGACTTTAAATGGGGAGAAGTCAGTCTGCGAATCAGGGAACAATATTCGCGCCATCTTTTAAATTGCATGGATTTCTGAATTCAAACGTGATCGGCTATTGCTCAGAAGCCTAATATACACGCGCTACGATTGCCATTCGTTAATAGATTCAGTTCAACAAAATAATATATTTAGCAAAATGGCGTCTTGGGAACCTCAATGAGAACCCTTTGGTATCTTTTGTATGGGTTTGTGCATAAATTACACACAACATTGCTCTTTGTGTTTTTGTCCGCCATTTTTTTTCATTCTGGAATGTTGTTTGAACCAAATATATATTAACAAATTGGCCAATCGTAGCGTGTGTGTTAGGCTTTTGAGCAATAGCCAATCACGTTTGAATACAGAAATCCATGCAATTCAAAAGATGGCGCGAACACGGTATTGTTCCCTGATTCGCAGACTGACTTCTATTATCTGAAACTCATTAATAATTCATGAGTAAATTAGCCAACCATATTGCTTTATTTTGCTCACATGATAATACTGGATACCTGATGAAGTATACTGATCCAGTCCTAGGACTGGATCAAATTTAATTCAGTCCTAGGACTGGATCAAAATTAATTCAGTCCTTGGACTGGATCAAAATTAATTCACCTAGTGATTTATTCGTACGAGATGTCATTTCAAATCCTACAATTCGGACTGGACTAGATTTCAAGTCCTCACATTTTTATCTAGTCCTAAATCTAGTCCAGTCCTCATAGTCGGACTTCAAATATTACTTCAAAGTAAGCACAGAGAATTTTGTGTATAAAATTTTTAAACATGATTTCTAGGTTATTGTTAAACTGGCAAGCAAAGCTACACGAGTTGGAGAAGAATGAAGACGAAAAATTAAGGTAAAATACAAGAGACATTTATTTTTTCAGTTATCCGGCTTTTGTGAGGTGTATATTGTCCACAAAACGACTTATGACGCATGTAGCCCTAAATTTCATGTCATACGAATTTAGTGCTACATAATTAGCCTTTAATTCTCACGCCGCCATTTTTGGGTGGCAGTTCAACCGAAGTCTGCGAGATGAGTCCACACAACAGCGACTTTTTATCATTTTTGGACGAATGATGGTAAATTTGCTTTGTAAATGGTTAGTATATTTTGAAAAATTGCTTTTCACATTGTTTTAATTGTCTGCATTGGTTAACGAGAATTAGATGCCACCCAAAAATGGCGGATATTCGTCATCGTGAGAAAGGCTAATTGAAGATTCACGTGCACTTTTGCTTAATATATGTTCAATTAATTTACCTCAGTGCTGAACTGGACGAAGAAAATAATGAAGAGCCACAGGTATAAAAATATTTTAAAGTATCTGAAAATGTTGGCAATTATGGATGACTTATCTAGTTGTAATTTTCCGTCCAAACATTTTAATATCTTAGAAAAGCGTCGAAGAAATGATACAAGATTTAAAGGAGGAAGAAGCTGGTGATGCTAAAAGGTAAAAATAAAAAGTTGAGATACGTTAAGCCCAGGGCAAACTGGGAAACATTGTTGCGGAAACATTGTTTCCTACCAATGTTTCGCCATGTTTCCCAGAGTGGGCAAACACTAGTAAACATTAGTGAGAAACATAACCACAATAGGGAAACATCGAGAATCACAAATGTTTCCGCAACAATGTTTCCTAGTTTGCCCTGCAGGGCTTTACTGAACCTCCACCCGCATTGAAGGAAGGAAAATTTCCTGATTGCCTGTTACTCAGGCAAAGGTGTTGCGTTTGATAGAGTCAAACTGGAAGCACTCTTCTCACAACTGCATATTGCAGGAATTGAACCTCGGTCACATGTAGTAACCACCTCCAACACATCTTGTCTGCATTTCTCTTCATTCCTTGTCACATGTTTTGCACGTGTAGAAAACGTCGTAAGTTGTTCGCGATGAAGAAACAGGCGCGTGAAAGGATGCAGGCGGGAGGAGGTGCAACGGCTGATGGTGGAGATGCTGAACTCTTTGCACTTCATAATATCAAGAGTAAGAAGGTAATGCAGGTCAGAAACAGAGAGGAATTCTGTTTTTGGAGGAAATTACAGCAGGCAGATGACACTGAACACTCTCAGCGCTTTCGGAATTATTCTGAGTAGGCGGCTGTGTTGATAAAGTAGGTGGCTGTGGGGAGAGTTCTAGGGAGTCTTAAAGTCATCCAAATTGACCAGACATAAGTGTATATTGATTAGATAGCAACACAATTGAGCTCTGTAACCAAATTATAATGTATCACTACTTTCATTCTTCAACAAGATAACATCAAGATTTAAGATGGCAAATAACTAAATCAGTTTTACGAAATAGTATTTTGTTTTCGCGAAAATAACCAGGCTATAAAGTAGACCAAGTTGAGGAAAAATAACTTTGTTTGAAAGCTTCGAGTGGAGGAAGGAGAGCAGAATTGACATTTCAAGCATACTAAACAAAGTAACCAGCGGTAAACCTCGTGCCACCCACCGAAGCTCTGGTGGCCGCTGGGTTATTTTGAAAACCCTGTTGTATCACCATCCCTGCAGGAAAACCCTTGAAAGCTGCATCTCTATGAAAGAAGCGAAATCCGCCAACATTTTTAATATACTTTCAGAATTTAGAAAAAGTCGATGAAGGTGAAACATTGGAAGCCAGCGATGACGACGACGAAGGGGATTACAGTGATATCGATGACAGTGGGGACAGCAGTGTTGGGGATATTGAGGATATTGATGATGATGATGATGATGATGTCAATCCACTGTTAGTTAACCCGGATGAAGAGATCGACCAACCAACGAAAACCAAACTTTGGTTTGACAAAGTATGTAAAGATAAGGTTTCAAATAATGTAATGGGTGCTACATCGGACTGTTCACAGTATTAATGTTGTATAGCTAAGGAGTAAGGGCACAAAATACTACACAGAAATCCATCTCCATTGTTTTTTGCGTAAGCGTTATTCGTCATCATTCGTCACTCAGCAAGTACCGTAAACAGAAGCAGTCACTCCCCTGGACGTGCGCCATTTTGACTATTTCCAGGGAGGGGGGCTGCTTCTGTTTACGGTACTTGCTGAGTGACGAATAGCGCTTACGCAACAAAACAATGGAGATGGACTTCTGTGTAGTATTCTGTGTAGTATTCTGTGGTAAGGGTATACAGTACTTCATTTATTGAGGAGAAACCTGGAGAAAACCTGTGGTATTTGATAGAGTCAAACTGAAAGCATTCTTCTCACATGTGACTGAGGTGGAATTATAATCAGACAACTGCATATTACAGGAATCAAACCCTGGTCATAGAATGCCAGAGGGAAGCCGAGCGATGAAAATAATACCTGAAATCTGAACACATTCGAGCAAGTAGTTACACGACTGGAACTTGGAAGACCGATGAAGTCCAAACGTCAAGTGACATCCTATTCTACTCTTACATTTCTCTTTCCTTATTTTCCAGGAAATGTTTCAAGGTCTTGAAACGATGGAAGATGAAGATTTTGAGGTGGAACAGATGATCAAGAAACACAAGAAAGCCGGCGGAGTTCTGCTCGGAAATGGTACGAAATGTGAAAGAAGGCGGGAACCTAGAAGTGTTGTGTAGACATAGGGTGGGGTGCAGGGAGTCCCCCCCCCCACAGACCCCCCCCCCGGTTATTAGATCTAGTAGCTGTTCATCTGCTAAATAACAGCGTATAATGCGTTTCAGATAAAGATAAGAAAACGACAGACTCTGTAACGAACAAAACTACAACTAAGAAAAAGACGAAGAATTCCGAAAACGAACCGTCAGATTCCGAAAGTGAGCCGTCAGATTCCGAAAGTGACTCGGAAGATAGTGATCATGAAATGAAACAGGTGGAGGATGCTGAAACAAATGCTACGGACAAGTCGGAAAATGGATTTGAAGTTGTACCACAAGATTGTAAGTTGTATTCTACGTTTTGAAGGATTTGTAAGAAATGTTTCAGGGCTAACCGAGTCAGTTCCCTCAAATATTTCTTACAAATCCTTCAAAACTTAGAATTTACCTAGGTGCAAAATTCCTACTGTGATCACAGAAACTTTGATAGTGTAAACCAGCCTTTACTATCGATGCAATAGAAGTGTTGATAAAATATTGCACCAATTTCTTTCCTCAAGTTGATCAATTCATTTGATAGAAAATTGATCAACTTCTATGTAGATGAGCCAATTAGATTTCGTTTCAGAACCGATTGACCAATAGGAAACGCACAGGAAGTAGAGATAAATTTGAATTCGCATGAATTGATCAACTTGAGGAAATGAATTGGTGCAATATTTTATCAACACTTCTGTTGCATCGACAGTAAGGCCCGTCAAAGAGTGACGAATGTTGGAACTAGCAATCGTTATGTCACTTGAATTTAGATCTTATGAAAAATATGACCCCAGAGGGACTGGCTCTAGGAGCTCAGATGGCTTTTTCCAAGAAGCGAAAACGAGAAATCGAAGATGAATCATACCACAGGTACACACATATTATGAGATCAGTGACTTTATAATACTATATTGTACGCTAGACCACCACGTTTGAGATATATTTTTCAGATAATGATGCTTGTGATGTTATTCTGAGTGTATATCCACACCGGACAGGCTTGAAAAATATGCCTGGCCACGGTGGGAAACGAACCTACGACCTTTGGAATACCAGCCCAATGCTCTGCCAACTGAGCTACGCGGTCAGGTCGGTTCGAATATGAGATATTTCGGAACAGAATCTAGTTCCTTCGATACCAATGTAATGTAGTAATCATTACACTCAGAGTAACATCACAAGCATCATATTCACCTGAGTACATTACACCAACACAGAAAAAATCATTTTTCAGATAGTTCAGACACAAACCACGACAGCTTATTTTTTAAGTACAAACGTTGAGATAAATCTACTGCATAAAATATAATTTAGATGGACATTTAATGATGATAACCTACCCGAATGGTTCACTCAAGACGAGTCGAAACATTACCATCGTAATTTACCAGTGACGAAGGAGGAAGCTTTAGAATACAAGGCAAGGTTGACGGAGATCAATGCCAGGCCGATCAAGAAAGTTGCTGAGGCTAAAGCGAGGAAAAAACAAAAAGAAATGAAACGAGTTGAGAGAGCAAGAAAGAAAGCTGAAGTGATTTGTGACAACGACAACGTTACGGACAACGAAAAAGCACAACAACTTAAAAGGTAAGTGATGATGGTGATGATAGTGGTAGTGATGATGGTGATTATAGTGGTAGTGATGATGATGGTAGTGATGATGGTGATTATAGTGGTAGTGATGATGATGGTAGTGATGATGGTGATTATAGTGGTAGTGATGATGATGGTAGTGATGATGGTGATTATAGTGGTAGTGATGATGATGGTAGTGATGATGGTGATTATATGGTAGTGATGATGGTGATTATAGTGGTAGTGATGATGGTGATTATAGTGGTAGTGATGATGGTGATTATAGTGGTAGTGATGATGGTGATTATAGTGGTAGTGATGATGATGGTAGTGATGATGGTGGGAGTGATGGTGGGAGTGGTGGTGGGAGTGGTGGTGGGAGTGGTGGTGGGGATGATCGTCGTGGTGGTGATCGTCGTCGTGATGATGGTGGTGTTGTATGGTGTTGTTGTACAATACAACTTTACAATATAACTTTATTTGAATAATACACATGACAAATACAACATTCAAATCCTGCAATAGCAAGATAATCGCGGCAGGAAATGAATCTAATTAAATAATATTATATATATACAACTGATTTATATTGAGAATAAGGTAAATTATTTACAGAACGAGAGTTTAGATTCCGATTGGCTATGATAATTTTTAAATGAAAAATATTATACATGACACAAATATAGTCTTTTTGAAAGTAATTACTGAGAGTTATGATGAGCTGAAAATTATATCGCGGTTACATTCGGCAGCATTTCAATTATCATGGGTACGTCAACATAATCATTTTGGTCTTAAAGTATGGTTAAAAGAGCTTGAAGTATTTTAGATTTAAAAGTCTGTTTAAGAGATGAGCGAAGATTGAGATCAATGCTATTGGTGTTGTTGTGTTGGTGGTGTTGTTGTGTGGTGTTGTTGTATGGTGTTGTTGTGTGGTGTTGTTGTATGGTGTTGTTGTATGGTGTTGTTGTGTGGTGTTGTTGTATGGTGTTGTTGTGTGGTGTTGGTGTGAAAGTATATCTTTATGTCTTTCACTTATTTAATTTTTCTTGTTAGTTTGTACAAAAAAGCTGGAATTGGCAAGAGAAAGAAACCCGAAGTAAAATACGTTGTGGCTAAGAAAGGCGGCGGTACGTTTCTTCGTACTAATTTTGTTTCTCGTTCCTGCGTTGGGATAGCGCTATTAATTAACAAGCATGCGCATTAGAGACTAGTGCCAGTGCACTTCCGCCTCCGTGTATCCAGGAATTTCGCAAAGTCTATGGTCAAGAGACCCTGAGTACGATGATGAAGCAAAACTCGCCAGTAGGCCTTATGCATAATGACGTCACAAGGCTTGATGCGGGCCCGAATGCTGGTCTTAGTAGACATCGCCCGGAAAATTACTAAACAATTCAAAATGGCCACTATAGAAATTTTCCCGGGCGATGACTACTAAGACCAGCATTCCTCGCGTGCATCAAGCCTTGTGACGTCATTATGCATAAGGTCAATTCTTTGTTTGCAATGAAGTAATTCTGGCATTTCAGTTGACTGGCAGGTATAACAAAAAACGGCTATTTTAGTGTATTGATTGAGTTTTCAAAAGATGAATTACCGTTCAGTTTTTCTTGCTGCAACCATTCTGATAGGAGAAAAATCGTCCACAAGTTGTTTGATTGCCCGTCATTTGGATGAAAAGTCACGTGATTGCAAACAAAGAATTAAGTTTTATTTTTTACAGGTAAAAGAGCAAAGCGTCCTGCTGGTGTAAAGGGTCCGTTCAAGATGGTTGATCCTAGAATGAAGAAAGACTTACGAGAGAAAGGAAACAAACAGGACAAAAAACGTGGCAGAAGGAAAAAGTAGAGAATAAAGGAGTGTCATACTACTAACCTCGTACCCAGGGCTTCTGCGCTTGTGAGAACCACAAGGAAGCCCTGGGTACGAGCATAGATATCTTATATACACCAATCTCGTACCCAGAGCAATGCCTGTGCGCGGGCTAGGAAGGCATTGGCTCTGGGGAAATTGAATTTTTCCTGTGCTGTGATTGGTTTAACGTTTACCAATAGTGCATGCCGACAAAGAACCGGAACTCCTAAATTTAGGGGTTCCGGTTGTCAATTTCCCCAGAGCCAATGCCTTCCTCGCCTGCGCTCAGGCATTGCTCTGGGTACGAGATTGTATATACACTAGATAGCGCATCTCTTTTAGTAAAATTGAAGCCAAGAATATTCCAGCAGTTACCCTCATTTGAATAGATGGCGGCCATGTTGGTATTTGCCACTCGCTAATAAACGCTTAAAAAACAACAATAACTTTCATCATTTGAATAATTAAAAAATGTATTTGAAATAGCTTTACTTAATGTTTAAGTTGCCTGTTTAAGAAATAGAAAACATACGAATCTTCTCATTACATGGGTATATCCTGAGTCTGCAATCACGGCTTCAATTTTTGAATTGTAGAATAATTAGATGCACTATCTAGTGTATATAAGATATCTATGGGAACGAGGTTGAGTGAATGCTTTACCTTCCAGTATATAACACCGCGGTCAAGCGCATGCGCGACTCCACGGGGAAAAATGTCTGCCAATATAATAGAAGTAAAGACGGGAAAAGAAAAGTGTTTACTATAGGGAAATGGCTAAACGTCCTAAGCTCGAGATCTTCAACGCATTTTCCTTGTGACAAGACGAAGTAGTATATACTGAGTTTACAACCTCGTTAAATTTTCTTTATACTTTTTGCTAGAGCTTTGGGAAGACAATACTATTTCCGGTGTTTCGAGTACAAACGGCGAATACGTTTGGCCGCGGTGTTGAAGCATATAGGATTACGGTCATCAATAAATTTGTGATGCAAATATGCGCTCGATTGTGTTCAATTACCAGGCTTCGAAGGGGGGAAATTCATTTTGCTGTCCTTAATCACTTATTTATATTTCGGTTTCCTCTGGAATCTTTTGAGTACCATTTTGGTAACCCGAGGAGCGTAGCGTGATAAAAATTTTAAAGTACCGAGGGAAATTTTCTCTTGAACTATGAATATACTTGCTATGTTTTCAATAAAACAAGCTTTGATACTTTTGAATTGATGTTCAGGTATTGTTTTTCACCCATCTACGAATATTTATCCATGACGAAATCAACAAAATCCAAAGTTTAGTTCGAGAACGATATCATTTTTCCATTACAAAGTCAAAGTTGTAGTTTAGCAATAAAATCCATTTTCCCGTCACCCAAAATCTGAGACGAGCGTATTTCCAAAAATTTTGAACTTCAGTTAGTACTATATAAACAAAAGTCCCAATCCTATTGTTACATAGAAGTTATTCAATAATCTGTCACGTAGCCATGTGGTAAATAAATATAACAATGGACCAAAATGAAGCTCATCTTTATTGACAAACCACAAGTCATTTTTGATGAAAGATATAATTGCATTTGAATTATGCTATTGCCAGTATTGAACCACCTTTAAAAAACGGCGCACGGCGGATCAAATAAGTCCTTATCTCTTCCAAACAAAACTCACAATAGCTGGATTATACAACGAAAGAAGACGCTCATTCACTTTTCATTGTTTGATTGGCTTTGAAGGCGTTTTCAAAGAATGATTCTGTAAAATATTGAAACAATGCGCCGTATCCTCCAAGACAAATGTTACTCAGTCGTCATGGAAATAGTTCACAAAGATTAGAAAGTCATTCACGTGTTGTTGTTTGAGATAAGTTTGGTTAGCTTTGAAAGCGTTTTGAGAATAATTCTGCAGAAGAATGGACCATTTGCATTATAGACTAAATTTTGATCTAAACAAGTCTAGACAAAAATTTCATCACAGCTTGAAAGAGCATCACAAAGTTAGTAATATTCCAAAGTTTCGTTGCGAAATGTTGTAAAATGCGGATAATATATATATAGCCTTGCGAAGTTTGCCGTTTTTCAGACATTTTGCATTACGCGGGAGAAATTGACAGCCCAATACCCTTTGGGGCTGTCAATTTCCCGTTTGTAATACAAAATGACTGAAAAACGGCAAACTTCGCAAGGCTATATTAACCGCATTTTACAACATTTCGCAACGAAACTTCGGAATATTACTAATTTTGTGATGCTCTTTCAAGCTGTGATGAAATTTTTGTCTAGACTTGTTTAGATCAAAATTTAGTCTATAATGCAAATGGTCCATTGAAACAATGCGCACAGGCCTCCAAGATAAGCGTTGCTGAGTCGTCATTGAAATATTTCGCAAAATAATGAAAGTACTTAGCAGATCAGGACAGCAGTGAACTACGGCATATCGCTATAAACCGCAACTCGCCATGACATATTATTGTAATTACGTGCTTTGTTTTGTTTATTCTTGGAAAACAAAATCTCAATTAGTCATTTCCCAATCGAGCAGAGGACTGGGTCTAGTCGCTTGTTTGGAGGGACAAAAAATAAACATACCGAATATGGCATCTTTCTCATCGTTTTCCTACATTCCTAAAGTTATTTGTGCAACCTGAAACGCAACATAAGGCGTCTTTTAATATATATTTAGCTCGCTCACTAAAACTTGTTGTCCCTCCAAACGTCCCTCCAAACATCAACCAGACCCAGTCCTTTGCTCGATTGAGAAATGGCTAATAATACACATGCCTTTCCAGCACTTACGCATAAAGATGAAGCGGTAAAAAATAGGTTTCGCTATTATCATTATCATGCACTGATACGAGATGGTGGTCAGTCTGATTTTGCCGGCATTTTGACATGTGGCCAGACCGGTGTCAGGTCGGCTGGCTTTTTTCCATGTCATCCACCCGCATTTAAGGAAGGGAAAACAGGGCTTGATACTCAGGCTATTTACACTCAGGCGTAATTCATTTCATATGTAGTTATCCTGTATTTGGAACATAGATATCTTATATACACTAGATAGCGCATCTCTTTTAGTAAAATTGAAGCCAAGAATATTCTAGCGGTTACCCCCATTTGAATAGATGGCGACCATGTTGGTAGTTCCCACTCGCTAATAAACGCTTAATGAACAACAATAACTTAAACTATTCATTTAAAATGTATTTGAAAAAGGATTAACTTAATGTTTAAGTTCGCTGTTTAAGAAATAGAAAACATACTAATCTTCTCATTTCATGGGAATATCCTGAGTCTGCAATCACGGCTTCAATTTTTGAATTCCAGAATAATCAAGATGCACTATCTAGTGTAGTATAAGATATCTATGATTTGGAGACAAATAAATAGAATAGAAGCTTTATTTATACAGGAGTCACAATCAGTAAAATACTGTTCTATATACTATTATATAGAATTGAGAGATGTACTCAGTTGATTTTCTTGAACGTATACATGACATTTTTAATTAACATGCATTGAAAGCAGACTTTATTTGCAAATCGCAGCAACTTTGTTGCTCTTATTACCTATACTAGTTACTTGTATGACATGTCGGTTGTGCACTCTCCCCAGAGCCAAAGTATTTTAAGAAGGTAAAGCCCCTAGGTTAAACGAGGATGAGAGTTGAGAAGCGAGAGTTTGCATGAGAGTCTTCACAATTCTCGTGCCCCGGTCATACGAGAACAAGAGTTGCATGAAAGTTTTCTCAACTCTCATGCCCCGGTCAAACGAGAACAAGAGTTGCATGAGAGTTTTCTCAACTCTCATGCCCCGGTCAAACGAGAACAAGAGTTGCATGAGGGTTGAGAAGCAAGAGTTTGCGTGAGAGTTTTCTCAACTCTCATGCCCCCTGGTCAAACGAGAACAAGAGTTGCATGAGAGTTGAGAAGCAAGAGTTTGCGTGAGAGTTTTCTTGCGCTAGACCTTTGGAGATGGATGGTCGATGGGGGGCACACCTCCCATCGGCTATTCCTGAACACACTTTGACGCCAAGTGGGCTACGACCGGTACAACCTACGTAGCAGGCCTACGTAGGTATCGAACTTAGCACCTTTAGATTACATGGCGCGAATGCTATATAGCCCGCTCAGCAGTCCCCACCCGACAATTTTCGGGCTGCTAGCAGGCTAATGCTCTACGGACTGAAACCGGCCGCAAGGGCTTTTACTGAATATTAAGCTCCGTCATTACGCTAGATAAGTCTTCTTCGCCGGCGCACCTTTCATTTCTGCGGAAGATAAAACAATCGCGCAATTTGAAAGCGGTAAAGGCAGTAAACACATGGCAGTATTGTATTAACTGATACAGCGGAACATTCTTTGGCTAAAGTTTTAAGATAAGTTTAAAAATTAAAATTGCCTCAGGTTAAAAACGTGTCTAAATTAAGATTGTGGCATTGGGCTCAAGTTTCAGTGCAAAGGGAAATGTGAAACTTAGAAATGTAATATTTTAATATTTATTGTAAACTGAACATATAATATGTTACAGTTCATTTCTTGCGCGCTCTAGTCCTTAATTTTCTCAGCGCTTTCTGGCTCTTGATAGTTTTATGAAATCATTTAAAAAAACACGTTGTATTGAAAAATGTGCGCACTGAAAAACAGTCACTGACAATTTTTCTACTCATTACTAGAATTTTTTTGTGGCCTTCTGAGAATCTATAGTTAGCGAAAACATCGGTAAAAAATTTTTCTGAGAATATTTTTACTGATATATATAGCTACATGTTTTTGTCAGCCAATTACGTTACAAAAAGTGCATTGTTTAACCACAGAATCAACGAAAATCTGCCGCTACCCTCCTTTTATGATTTATTCAAAGTCCGGCCGGGAAACTAAACGAAGCCGAAGGTAAAATAGATCTTGTCACTGCGAAGGAAAAATGGCAGATAACACCTGCATCCAACACGGTGGGACAAATTTTCAGTTTTCCACCGATACGGTATTAAGGTGGCAGAAATGAGAGAATCGTGAAGAATTAAGACGACTTAAAAGTTTAAATTGCTGTAGAGGTACTTGTATTTAGGCAAAACGTTTGATAATAGCATTATAGCAGCTTTAGCCAGTGATCTTGTTATACAAAACGCGGTGAAATTAAACTTCTTTTTCAACATAGACAATGGGGACAGTGGTCAATACAAAGATAACCGGCTCTTTTACAAAAGTTAAATTCCTGTATTAGTGCCTGTACTCAACTAAAAGCACTGATAATCCCAACCACAACTCACAGGTTATCTCACAATGGCAATATAATACGGTGACACTATTCTTCCACTTTTCCACATAGACAAAGGCGGTAGCGTTTAAGACAATGCTAGAAAATGCACAAAAGCAAGCCGAATGAAATGTGCAAGAGCCCCTGGGGTTCGCAATGTACTGAAATTGACATCGGTTGTTGATTTCCGTTCCGCTATTGAAGCGATAGCAGCATTGTCGCAATTAACTGATCGCGAATTCCACGGGGTCCGCAATTTGCGAAATGGAACTATTTGTTGCGGACGCGCGGTCCCAATTTGCAAAAAAAAAGGGGTCGCAATCTGCAAAACGTGAAACATTTTTGAGGCGAGTTTAATGATTTTAGCGAGTTTTCGAGGCGCATCTTAGCGCCGACGCTGCGTTTTGCGGCGCGGTTAATAATCAAACAAATTAATAATTTTTTAATTACGAACTTCTGACAGCTGGTGTGCATAATTGATCGGTTGATCGAGTGACTGTGCCTCGGCAAAGCAACCGAGTGAGCGCATTGTATCCAACCCACCGTGCGTCCATGGATCGTGCGACGAGAACGCCAGGTTGTGAATTCAGAGCCGATTCCCCAGTCGCTGTGTTGTATTGAGAGGTATTGCGGTTCCCAAATCTGCGTTTTGATCGAAATCACGGATTATACTCAAGTGTTGTTTATATTTGGACACTTGGTCGACGTCTGCTACGGCGGTCGAGATGTTGTTGTGCCGTAGTGTTGTTATTGCAATTCTCTTTGACCTCGTATCGCTTTCAAGAGCGACAAGAACCGCGTATGTCGAAATTGTCGTATGCGACAGCAACGATGAACGATCTATGTACACGGATAAGCTTCAAGGGACCTTTGCGAACATCGGCACGCTGAGTCGTGCGAAGGGTGATGTGTTGCAGGTAGGATTTGTAATCTTAGCATGATAGTATATATGTTTATATGAATGTTACCCAGCGGAACGGGGAATATACGAGTTTGATAACAAATCAGTATGCTTGCTAAGCAGTATAAATATGGTTGGGATGTAAGCAGTAACAACAACAATGTACACTGATCCGCAGTTATAACCGAAGTCATATATATATATATATATATATATATATATATATATATATATATATATATATATATATATATATATATATATATATATATATATATATATATATATAGGATACACTAAACTTCATGTTATGTTTGCCCCATAGAACTGGGAAAATGTTTAATAACAAATCTTTATGCAGTATGAGTATCATAGACTCTACTGCCTGTTGGATACGAGTAAAACCAATATATTGATTTGACGCCATTGAATTATATTTGTATATATATAAAACTTCAGGCTAAAAGCACGCATGTATATTTCAGATTCGGCATACTCGAATTCATGTTACATGCATGTATCCAAATCTTTCGAATTTCGTAAAATTTATTGTGGAATGTTACTATGTGTTATTTATTTGTCTTCAGAAAGCGAGTGTACTTCACAATCATTCACACGGTATCTGGGCCATCTCAATACACAGCAGTGTTCGGTTCAGGCTAGATTATATGACGTGCTGTTATATATATCATAGCGTAAATGTACTATTGGCCAAGCATTCATTCCTTCTGTGTATTACTGCTTTGTTTACCACCGCCATATATCGCGGGAACCTGTTTTGTTGTCTTTATATCTGAGCCAATGAGTGCGTCGATCTGACCGGCTGCCACTTGAGAAATAATTTGAGCACCCTTGTAAAATGACAGATAGAAACGGGATTTGCACTTGAGGGAAGTCGTTCGGTCAAGTGTAGGCCGTTTATTGGCGCAATGCAAACGACAATAAACATAATTTGTAAAGTTTTTTGAGCGAGGCGCGTGTGTTGTCTACTCGTTTAGCTTAACGAGCTGTAGATCATGTCGGCAAAGCGTTCAAGAGAATGCCGACATTATTATTTGTCACGGGTCAGATACAAACATGATTTAGAATACATATTAACTGCTGTAAATGTAGCAATTAACTGTAATTCAAAGCTTACTTTACCGCGTGTGTGTTGTGTAGGCTTAATATGTATAGTTCAGAGGGTTTATATGATAGCCCAGGGTTTAAATACCAACGAGTCATCGACATGAATATTGAAGCAGTATCAAAACATGTATCAATTTGAGTGTAAAAAAGTATCAATTATGAAAGCAATAATAACAAACTTTTTAAATCTAAAGTGGGAGCATTTAGTGAATAGTTTTAAAACATTTTGTGTCGTAAAATATTCGCAATTGTGTTCCTATTTAAAGCGCTTCGGGGCAATTGTAGTGTGAACTCAAATATATTTGCATGTCAATGTTTAATGGGAAATACGATGCAGAATCGTTGCTAAGTAGTTTTCAAATAATTTCATTCCAAACTGCCAAAATATAATGTTATGAAACTGAAACATACGTTTGTCTCAAAACATCGGTTGCGTGTCTTTTGAGGTAGATTTCTTTAGCCAAAATAAACTGGTCAGTAAAGGTACCGAAATTAAGCAAACCCAAATTCCAAAACATTTAAAACGCAGATTTTTGGCAAATCATTTCATGTAGCCATTTTTATTTTTCTAAAGTGATGCACTTCAAACTCAGCATCATACATATATGTATGGCAGCAGGTTGAGAGAAAGGATAATCCATATTTCACCTAATTAAAACTCGTTCCAAATCCATGTGTAACATGTAAAAATATTACGGCATAAAACATGACAATTATGAGTACTTAGTGAATAGTTTCCCATATTTTACATAGCAAATTTGTTTGTTATTTTCTCAAACGATTCTCGGCCGACATGGGGGTCGGACTGATTTACCCCGACAGGTTTTTTTCATAATGTCTCAAATCAAGTATGTGGCAGTGTTGAAATATATTTAAAACGTTGATTGAAAGGGCCATCTACTTACTTGAAAAATATGAATGACGTTTCAAAGCAAAGGCTCGTCGTCTCTGAAAATTTGTACGGAGTATTTGGGATATTTCATACTGTACATTTTCATGGTTTATTTTTGGTTCATGAAATGTCAGGTACACCTCAGAGATAGACAAAATCATGCCAAATATAGTATAGCTGACTTAAATTTGAGCTAGTTTAGTATATCTTTCAATCCACATATTCAGATATTGTCCGAATGTCAATTTGATCCCTAAACGAGGTCCGATAAAACATCTTTGAAAACAATTAAGCATCGATGTTGTAAGCAAATAGCAACAAGGGCAGAAAATTGTGACATGGAGAAAAGTATCAAATTAAGTACAGCGCCATATTGGCAATTTTTAGACCGGCTGATTTTGGCCATTACGCGGCGACTGCGGTTATAAGTATTATTATCCGGCTGATAACAAGTGCTCAATGTCTAGATTTTCGGTTCTACAGGAAGCGAAATTAGAAAAGTATAGGGCAATTTATTGCTTGGAACTTCTGTTCGCAATGACAAGTACTTTAGCTCTACTTAAGAGATCTGTCTTCGCCTTTGTCTATATATGACAGCGAGAGTTTCCTGTGCCGAATAACAACACAACCGTCCCCCGCTGCGGTTAATTCAGAACAGAGAGGCGAGCAAAATTTTCACAATATTTATGCGATTTCAAACTGCGAAAATTCGCTTGAAAAACAACTGTAGGCAAAGCAAAACACGGTTAGGGATAAACAGCGAAGGTTAAGGTCTCCAACACAAGTTTAAGCTAGATTCTGTTTTTGTAATGCGTTCAATAATGCCCAAACTTCCATCGGTGGCCCGAAACATGCTGAATTCATTAGCTCGAACTGCTGAAAACATGTGGTATAGTTGACTATGTTTTATGCTAAGAAAAACACGCAGTTTTGCTAGTAAATCCAGCTGTTTGGTAGTTTTGAAGAAACCTAAGGCAAAAACAATACATTTCCTTTAAAATGTCGCCTCAACGGGGTTCAATAATGCGCTCAAATATATGGAATTACGTTAATATTGATTCTATCTTTGTATTCAATATTCATACAAATGCGGCGAGACATATCGGTGCCAGTGAATTGCTCCCAATATTTAGCACCCAAAAGGTGGCCAAGTTTAAAGCTTTCCGCTCGAGGAGTCCTAAAACCAAAACTATAGCAATACTCGTTGCATGGCGGTATTTCGCCTGTGTTTTATTGCTTGTTTTATAAATCTCGCTTAGCAAATATCAATATCTCGGAGAGCGTTTATTGTTTGACTTGCGTATTTGTACAGCTCAATAATGATGTTTATCGCAAAGTCTCCTTTGCCAAGACCGTAGCACGAAAAAGATGGGTTTTTAGGCCGATAGTATATACACTAGTAGTACTACACAACTAGTTCGGCCTATAAAAACTGTCGTGCGCAACCTCCTTAATACATGCAGTTACAACTTGAGTTGTACTGTGTTAATCAAACACACAACTCACCTGCCGGTGACAACATAGGCGAATCGTGTGCTCATTTACACAGTTGTAAGCAAGTTCGGTTGCATGCGACAGTTTTAGGCAAAAGTTGTGTAGTGTTTATTGGGGTTTTAGGGCAAATACTGATGTTGTCCTTGTACTATATGAACGGTGCCACTTTTCAATTTCGACGGGAAAACTATCTTGCGATTCTAAAGCTTACATTATAAGAGTTTAAACATCAAGCTTTAGCACTTTTGAAATTTTTGATGTGTAAAAATAATCGACCTAAAACTTCGAGTCGAAAACTCTAAATAAGAAAATTAGACCAAAGTATAATGGCACCTTAATTTTAAGAAAACTTTGATAGTGTAACCAGACCTAAACAGTACTATTGTTGAACAACTATGAATTCAAAAATCTGTCCTTAATCGATTTTTTTTCTTCACAAAAAGCATGTATGCGTTAATAAAACTTATTGATTTAACGAAACGGAATTCGCACTGGATCCGAATCTTACAAACCATGCCGCTTGAATTACCTTGAAATGAATTTTATGAAACGATATGACATGTTTAATTTTCAAATCTCACTAAGCTCGCTTCTGTTTGTGTTTCATATTATATCCACGAAATTTATTATATTTCCAATAATATTACTGATGCCGAAACGGTAAAAAGTGTTGCAATTATATCATTTCTCGAATTCTAAATGGTTTAGAATACTCACTGTAACAAATACAATGTTCTAACGTAGTGGAGAACAATTTAAACACTAAAACACTTATGTAATAAAATAGAGGCAAAGTAATACGTGCGTAAATCGAACACCGCGTAGCCAAAACACAAGCCAATGAAATATGCAAATTATGCCCCATTATTCAATTCTGTAATTGTTTGCTTTTTGGACAAACACAACGCGTTATTTCATGCCGTATTTAAAGCATTTGTGTGTTTGCTTTCTCTACGCTGCTAGGAGTTCATTAAACGCTTAGTTTATTTAACACTTCACTGACAATTCTATTGCCTGTACAAACAATAGGTTAGAATCACGGGCAGCCGAGAATTTCAAAAATACTGAAAGAAATTAAACAAATTCCAAACACGACGAAGGCGGTTAGAATGAATTGCAAGAAATATTTTTTGAGGTTGTTATTTTTTTTCACTTTTTTCAAAGCCATCATTAGAAATAGAACACGTTTCAGCATACATCCATTAAAACAAGATATTTCAACCATTGTGCTATTAGTATGACAATCCGTCTGATGAGGTCGAAAACCACAGTCTCAAAACAATTTCCTTCGCGTTATATGTTGAATTTCACGATGGCATTTGAGTTTGAAATTTGTTTCCTTTTGCAAAGGATAGGTTTCGCAAGTCCTGTCAAAAACGTAAAGTGATAAGCCTCAAAATTGCCGTATATTACAGTACTTGACATTATTTTGGGCTAAGCCGTCTAAGGTCAAGTAGGTGTTATGCCTATATTTTCAAAAAGTATCAATAAAATTTTCGCCACATGAAAATTAGTACGTCTTAGAAAAACATAGCATTGTTCCATATGGTTTTCATTTATGATGTCTAATTTTCAAATTCAAAACATATTTTCTTTGGGATTTTTTTAATTTTCAATACGAAGCATACTGGGCAAGCATAATGAATTCTTGATGCGTGTTCACAGGTGGTCCGAACCATTTGGTGCTCTATTTTTATCGAGAAATGTATTAAGGGTTAAACGGGCATGGCCGCTCTACCCATTGAGCTATATCGAGAGACATCGGAGATTTGAAGCATGATTTATCCAATTTAAGTGCACGAAATATTTTCGTCTTTCAGAACGTAAATAGAATTTTTTTGTCGCATTCAGAATGAAACATCTATTGTGGAAAATGAAAGATAATTCATAATTACAAGCGAAGAAAGAAAACTCTAACAATACATTCCTCAAGCTCTCTTATACGATCGCGCAAGCCTCGATCCCATGCTAATTAACATAAATTGCAAGGAACTTTTTTTCAAGATGGGTTTTGTGGTTAAGTGGTTAATATTTGAGAGGAAATGAAATATTCACGAATTTGGGAAGATAAATTAGACTCTACTTTCAATGCGAACATAATTGACACTTGGAAAACGTATATTGCTCTAAATGCCGTTCTTACAATCTAAGCTGTTGTTCTCAATTTTCCATTCATATGTAAATAGCAGTGTATTGTCAAAAGTAACATGTTCTGTAAATTTTGTCAGGTTGGTCTTCACATACATGTCCTGTTGACCACACCCAGGCCTCAAATTTCCCTGAAATCAATCGACGGCGATGGCGTTAAAAATTGCCCTAGAACGTAACAGCTGTCTACGGCAATTTTGTTTCCACGGCATTTTTCAAATTAACTGTAATAAAAATTTAATTTTATTGTTACTTTGGATTTTTGACAAGCTAGAAACATGTCTACGTATTTCTTTAGTGGTTTTTTTTTCGAAGAAAACTGAGACTAAAATAGTGATTTACGCATGATTTGATCAACATCTGAATTCAAGTATCGAAGTAGTAATGCACAGTGAATAGTATAAAAATTGCACTATATACGGCAAAAAATTGCCGTCGTTGCCGCAATGATCCACGGCATTTTGTTCTCCCTCTACGGCAATTGCCGCGATAAAATTCGAGCCCTAACCACACCCTTAACCATATTTTTATTATGTACTTACTACTGTAACATTTGGTATTATTATATGGCTATAAAGTAAATAAATAGATACGAGATATAACTGTATAATCTACATTTGACTCACCCATAACTTTCCAGTATCTTGAATGTGATATAGATTCCAAAATGCATATACTGCATTTATTATGAGCTTTAGATGATATCATTAAATGCCAGGAATAATTTTGGCAACATCTGGAAAAATTATAATTTTGCATCAATACAGTTGATTCAAATCTAATTGCAAATCTAATTCAAACCTAATAAACTCTAAATGTCAAAAGTGCAACGAAAATACAGAGAGTCTCCCAGGAGTTCAGAGGGTCTCCCAGGGAGGAGGGGAGGGGGTCTGTGATTTTTATAATTGATGAGACTTTTCTTATTTATTGGTTTACGGATTTGAAACCAGGTCGGTAGGTCGGAAAAAATTTTAAAAAACACACTGAGTATATTTAAAATCTATATTTTTATTTTCTAAACATTTAACTTCTACTTGGAAAAACATGGCTAAACTCCATATTGATTGTCACAACGATAACATGAGCCAGCAGTACTTAGAGTCAAAGTTTACTTGGCGAGTGTACTTCATGTCAGAAACCGAAATTAACTAAAATTAACTACAATCGTAAAATTGCTGACATCCAAACTTTTTTCTATTTTTCACTTTCGGTGGATCCGTAAACCAACGAATAAACAAAGTCTCACCTTAGCAGATGTTTCAAATATGTAGATGGTATCTACTGTCACAGGGTGCCCTGAGGGTTCAGAGGTTGGCATCATGTGATCACAGACAGACAGCAAGTACCCCTGCAGCTAAAATGAAAGCCAAACTGACATGTGCTTAATTTAGCAGAATGTGGAAATCTATTCTTATATTATTTGCACCGATAAGATCAGTAGCGGGCACAGTAGAGGGAGTGGTGGGGAGAGTGAGGGGGGTAACCCCCACCCCCCTCCCCAAATTTCTTAATCATAGTAAAAAAGTAAAAATGTAAAAAAGTTGTAACAAGCCATATACTGCATACCATTCAGGCAAAAAGTTAAAGAACAGAGATTTGCAACATCTACAGGTGGTCATATAGTGGCAACCTAAATTCACTCCCCTCTGTCACTGGATCTGGAATCAAAAGCAGTGCTTTTCAGAACATTTATTTCTTCTCTATCTTGCAATTAGATCCATCCATTTGGCCTGTGCAATATATCAAATGGTGAAGCACTCTATGATGATGAGTGGGTGGGTGTGGTCAAACTGACGGTACCCTCGCGAGAATCACCAACATGTAACGACACAGTTCAGAAGGTATGAATTAAATATCATGGTAGACAACTGAATTAAGACAGATGGTTACAAGGGCTGCTATATTTACAGGGGTCTCATTACATGCAGGTATCCTGCATTCCTGCAAATACTTTTGAAAAACAGATAGGGCCTAAAAAAATACCTGTGGTTCCGGTTTCATATCATGAAAAAATTAGGGTTGGTAGGTCGGAAATAAATTTTTTTTAAATATTTTTTTTTATGGTTTTGGCGGGTTTTTTGCTGGGCGATTTTCAGTGGAGTCCCGATATCAATATTAACTAGAGATGCATATTTCCTATGGACAAATTTAGGCAATTTGGTTCAATAATTATTGTGACAACAGACGCCATTTTGGCAAGCTGTACGAGCAGCCCGCAACCACCCGGAGAAAATAGGGTCAAAAAAGTCAGAAAAAAAAAATAATAGGGTTGGCAGAAAAAAATAGGGTCGGTTGGGAACCGGAACCACAGGTATTTTTTTTAGACTTAGGCTAATTATGCACCAGCCTGGTCTCCCTAACCATGGTGAATCAGGCATTAATATTTGACCAACATTCCTAATACAAAATTCAATGTTCATACCCCAAATTATATTCTTGCACCCAAAATACAAGACCACATATATTAAGAAAAGATCTTTCCAAGTCAAATCATTGGCCTCAAAAAACACGGTCTCAGCTCTCTTATTAGTGACCTTATAGATCTGCATGGTCTTAGTAAAAGGCAGGATGTTGTTTTCCTGCGATCATGAAACTGACATGCTGGTTCACTCCCTTGGATGATAGAGGGTGTGGCAAATTATATTGAAGCTCTGGGGTTTCATAATTGAGGGAATTTTTTCCAAGGAGTGTACAAAACTTCAGTTTCCATAACATATTTATTTTATGCTCACATTAACTCATTAAGCTGCAGAGCTTCCCCATTGACCAGCAAAATCGTCTGGTGTTAGAAAGTAAAAAAAATAAGTAGGGTGCACTGGGGCACATTGCAGCTCAGTGGGTTAACTAGAGACATTGTCAGATTTTTTCATTAATCCATTAAGCTGCAGAGCTTCCCCACTGACGAGTAAAATCGTCTGGCGTTAGACAAGTGAAAAAAAAATAAGTAGACCGTAAAAAATAAGTAGGGCGCATTGTGGCTCAATGGGTTAAACAATTGATGAAGTTGCATTGCACCCTAATAATGCACTGTGTTTTATTATTTTACTCTGCCTAATGCCTTGTTCCTTCATTGTATAGGCACTAGGTGCTGTGAAGAAGGGTGCAAAAGCGGTTATATTTGATGTGACAGACAGTCCGGGAGCTGCCAATGAGGTACGTATTAGGTTGGACACTATTAATACGTGTGAGTTTCACTAAGCATTAGAGAGGTTAATTAAGATTGACGTTTACGGCAGACTGGTAACTGCAAATGGCAAACTTCAATTTGCATTTGAAGGTAAGTTCTACAAGTTTCCAAAGGTTTCGACAGGTTTTTAGTCAATTCATTCTTCAATTTAGATGCACAAAATTATCCTAACTTCGAACAACTAACAGTTGATCTCAAAATACAATTTGAAGTTTGCGGTTACCGGTCTACCATCTATTATCATATAGCAGATGCAGTTATCAGAGCAACAAAATAATTATTTTCATTATATGTGGTAGTCGGTATTTGGTGGCAAATGAAAAGAATTAAGAAACTTTTCGTTCAATTTTCTTGCTCCTAAAATTGACCACCAACTGCTACCCTGTTAAAACTTGTTAATTGATTCCACTAATATATCCTATCAGTTTCCATTCACATATTAGTGTGAGTTATCTCACAGTTATAATTAGATAACACTGTATAACATTATTTAATTAGTTGTAAGGGGGATGTACCATGCCTGTCAACAACTTATAAAAAGAATTATGGTATGGGTTGGTCAATGTGTCCTGAAGAGGCAGATCAATATTTGTTTATGTACTCAGAGTCGATGAGTACTTCTTTATAGATCAGTTTTTGTGAGATATAGACAATTGGCATGTAAAGTTAGAAAGTAATACAATGATGAACAGAATAAAAACATATTTTCATGTTTTACTTTATCTTGCTCAGGAGTTGATTGAATGAAGCTCAGTTCCCAGCAGATAAGCTTAATTTATTATTAAATAAGTCTCATTTCTTTTGACACATGTTCTGAATCAGGGTATGCCCTCAAAAGCATCTATAATGGTAATACATATTATCAAGGGGCCAAAATTTCGACACTTCCCTAGAGGAATAAGTCACGTAAAATCATACACTCCAAAATCCAAGTTACTGTGACATCAGAGGTGTTGAATTTTTTGAATGTTCATTTCACAATTTATTATAATTGTTTATTTAGTTAAACGCCCAGAAATCGCTGATACAACAGCCGGTTATCATTATCAGTGGAAAACATGCTAGAAAATTGATGAGCATTATCAGAAAGTAAGCCCAGTTTCTCTCACTATAAATACAGAATTTGTTTTTTGACAATAAGATCACTGTTTCATATCCTATGTCATTATCCTCGGCTAGTGAACTGTTTGTTCAAATATACATTCAATATTATTGAAGTTTAAAACTTCAAACTAGTGTCTTATTTTTTTGAATTGTTTCTGTATTACTTCCAGGCAAAACGTCTTAAAAGCTCGAATTTCATGGAAGCCATACATGGAACAGACCACGGTTAGTTGCATCAATAAGATATTTTTCACTAAAATGTACAATTTTTGTACTCAAATATAAAACACTTTCAGTCAGTGTCTTTCACTTTTGACTTTTCAATCTTTCTCGCAAAAAATAGCAGGTTTTTCCACAAATAGTACAAAAACAATCCCGAATAAATGTTCATAAGCATACTTACTATATAATACTAGTATATTGTTTCACCAAATCACATAAAATAGTCAAATAGTTTTGAACGAAAACTTGAAACTTTGAATGATTTTTGAAATCCAGGAGAGCAGTCCGCCATTTTGTTTTTAACGGCGCCAGAATACGAACAAACGGTTACAATGAACAGCGGTATGTCCTTGTGGCACGTGACCAGCACGTGACTCAGTCATAATTCACGTGACTAAGGAGAAATTAAGCAGGCAGGAAATAGACCCTTCCGGAAACTAAATTTCCCCCTAAATTTTAAAATAATCCTAGATTTAACTATTAATATTATTCTGTCCTATATATCAACCTATTTTACAAAATATTTTTCACTCTTTAGGACAGTTCTGGTGAATACGTGGATATGGTTATCTTTATGACGTGTTTTATTCTAATTACCATCACGTGTTTTATACTTCTTCTCAAGGTATGTATATATTATTATTACATTATACAGAGTGTATAAAAAAAAAACGCAACCTCGGAATTTCCCGAGAAATCTTCAATTCCCAGGGGCCTAAAATCTTTTATGCTTAAGAATTGCAAAGTGATTTCTTAGGAAATTCCGAGGTTGCGTTTTTTTTTTATACACCCTGTATATGTTTTCACCTTTTAATCAGTCATACTCTTTCCACGCAAAAATAGTCCGAATATATTTAACTCATTAAGTTGCATTGTGCACTGATGCGCCCTATTTTATGTCTTTATTATTTTACTCTGTCTAGCACTGGGGCTCAGTGAGTTAAGTTATATATATTTATCATAGATATCTTATATAAGATGTCTATGATATTTATTCATTGTCTTTATTTTAACTAGATCAAATGGAAACAAACCAAAAAAGAGGTACGGTAAAAACTCATTGTTACCCAAATAAGCAATTAGCCTTTCTCACGCCCGCCATTTTTGGGGTACTGCCTTTTCCAATCTCAAATTCATTAATAATTCACGAGCAATTCAGCCAATGATGATCACCTATTTGATCACAAGATACCATTTGGATAACCCGGTGAAACTTGATGAAAGACTGATAGTCACCAGTGTTTTCATCAAATATCTTGATTACGCATGCAAAATTACTTGAATAAAATTCCTAATTACGTTATGCTTGGTTAAGAATTCTTTTCAAATCAGCAAACGAAAACATTCTGTTACGTCTCGATTCATTTGAGAAGCCATATAAACAACTCGAGCTCGTGTCTCACCGGGATATCCAAACACTCGAAAACAATGTATGAAAACACTCGCGCTTCGTGCTCGTGTTTTCATACATTGTTTTCTCGTGTTTGGATATCCCGGTGAAACACGAGCTCGAGTTGTTCATATATTACTTCAAACAAATTACTTATAACTATAATTGTGAGTATAATCATTATAAGTTAATTGACAGTTAAATATTGGAAAAAAATGTTTTCACATCGCTTAAATTTTTCACATCGTTTTCAAAAAAGTACCCCAAAAATGGCGAATTCTTCTAAGGCTAATTAATTAATGTATATTGATGCCAGTTGCCAACCAATTCACATTTTCAGATAGTATAAACTCACAGTTATACTGTATGTCTAGTCAGTACCACTGTTCTGATAATGTAAGCATACAGAATGGAATTATAACAAAGGTGACCAAACAATTAAATTATATATGTGAGTGAATTCGCGATTCCCCTTATTACGTTTTGCATTGTGGTTATAGTGGGATCACTGATCATAAAGATAGCGGCCTCGAATGAAAATATTGAATGTTCTCGCGAATATTTTGCTGTTGGCTGTCGTGCACCTGACCCTAGGCTTTTTTAAAAGTTCTTGCACGGGTCGCGACAAAAAATAAGCCATCTTGAATACCAGTGATACCACTATAACCACAATGCAAAGCGCTACGAAAACGTAATAAGGGGAATCATCTATTGGGTGGCGACTGGCGGCAAACATACGTGTTAGTTGGATGGTTGGATACGATAGGTTTATTCGTACCATAAGTACAAAAAAATTGCCAACCTTTTTAAATCATAGCGAGGGAATAATGCTTCAATCTGTAACAATATCAGGCTTATTAGTCAGATGTTTTCTAGTTTTTAATCTAATATTGCATTTTAGTCTTCTTTGGCAAAAATGGCTTTTGACGCGGTCTCGAAAATGGAATCAAAGAAATACGAAGAAAAACGAGAAGTTGAGACGGTAAAAACGATGAAAGAAAAACATCGGGAGCGAACGTTGAGTACTCATTCGTGTTCAGCTATCGGCATCTCTTGTGTTATATGCCTGGAGGAATTCCGAGAAGGACAGGTAAGGATTTTCATTTATATAAATTAATGTTCCTCAGATGTCCAGTAATAGTTATCTAGCGTGCAACCCAGATGAAGGAATACCTAAGAGCGGTTTCAAATTTAACCGACAATGGGAATTTGATTTTCCCAGACCAGGTGTGTCAAATAAAAAAATGTGTGCGGTAGATCATGCGTCTTTACCAACAACAAACGTTATGGTCAAATACGTTGATTGCGAGCGCCATAAACATGAATCGCAATGCTTTGTATATTCATATTGTGAGCCCATTTCATCCTAGCCTACTAATGTCGTCAAGTATACAATGACCCATCTTGCTCCCGTTTACCATCTAAACTACCATTGTTTATCCAGGAAATTCGTGTAGTATCGTGCGGTCATGAATTCCATCTGAAATGTGTTGATCCTTGGTTGTTGACAAATTATACATGTCCACTGTGTATGTTAAATATTGTTGGTGAGTAGAGAACTGATTTCGTTGCTAGGTAGATTAAGCTCCATAAAGTCTCTGACCAGCTCTCCTTCATCTCTTTCTATTACGTGTCCATACCATCTTAGCCTTGCTTCCCTCACCTTCTCTGCTATGTCTACCACCCCACATCTTCTGATCTCTTCATTCCATAATGTCTCTGACCAATTCTCCTTCATCTCTTTTTATTACATGTCCATACCATCTCAGCCTTGCTTCCCTCACCTTCTCTGCAAAGCCTACCATTCCACATCTTCTGATCTCTTCATTCCATAATGTCTCTGACAAACTCTCCTTCATCTCTTATTACATGTCCACACCATCTTAACCTTGCTTCCCTCACCTTCTCTGCTATATCTACCATTCCACATCTTCTGATCTCTTCATTCCATAATGTCTCTGACAAACTCTCCTTCATCTCTTTTTATTACATGTCCATACCATCTCAGCCTTGCTTCCCTCACTTCTCTGCAAAGCCTACCATTCCACATCTTCTGATCTCTTCATTCCATAATGTCTCTCACAAACTCTCCTTCATCTCTTTTTATTACGTGTCCATACCATCTCAGCCTTGCTTCCCTCACCCTCTATGCAAAGCCTACCACCCCACAAATCTTCTGATCTCTTCATTCCATAATGTTTCCGACCAACTCTCCTTCATCTCTTCTTATTACGTGTCCAACCATATCAACCTTCCTTCCCTCGCCTTCTCTGCAATATCTACCACCCCACATCTTTTAGTAATGATGATATTTCATTTTCAGAACGAGAAGGCAATGGCATCAAGACAGAGAGTCGATGTTCACCATCGTTCCGATCAGTATTCAGATGTTGTTTCGCGTCCAGTCCTCTCTCGTCATCAAGCATGGTGTACAGTATTACACTGGAAGACTCACATAGTGACAGTCTATCGCTGGCAACGAATGACTTGATCGAAACGACTACGACTGATAATTTATGGACAGAACACTTGACAGAACATTTGCCCGAGGCCACTGAACCATGCTTGCAAACGGGCGAAATAAGTAACTCGTACTCGAGCCCGATTCCAGGGCGGGCTATTTCAATTTCATTCCCAATTAAAAATACAGACATTTTACAAAATTCACTCGATAGAGGTCCCAATGAATTAAATGTGCAGGAAAATGAGAGATGGAAAGAGAATAGGACCAGATCGGTACAGATTTCAGATCTGGGTATGAGAAAATGTAAGTTGAATTATACCTGAAACTAACTTTATTTATACTTGGTGGCTCCATCAGTTCTGAACTGTTTCCCTTAGAGATCCAGTAAGAGGCATTCCTAACTGGTCCAGTGTTACTGCAGGAGGAAATCTGGATCAAACTGATTAAACTTTATTTAAATTGAATGGCCCTATCAGTTTTAAACCGTCCAGTGTGTCCATGCAGCAAAGGACATCTCTTATTAGACATTAGTCTCAGGGCCGCCCAGAGGTTGGCGGGGGCCCGGGGCAAATTTTTTTTAGGGGCCCCTATCTTAAAAAATTTTCCCGGAAAAATTTTTTTCCGGAGAACAACCCCCCCACCCGTCGCCAAAAAATTTTCGGTCAGTGTACCATTTTAGGGGTAAAATTTTTTTTCCGGAGTACAAAATTTTTCCGGACCAGTACGTTGCAATTGCTTTCGAGGGACTTTCTCTCATTTTTTTATGCCAAAATTCGGTACTTAGCCCAAGAAAACAGATATCTTGTCCTTTGCGCGGAAATATTTAACAAACAAAAAAGGCTGGGGCCCAACAAAAAATTTTCAGGGGCCCCCAGCAACTCGGGGCCCGGGGCAATTTGCCCCCCCCCTCTGGGCGGCCCTGATTAGTCTTGAGGTGTTTGGTAGAGGAGGCAAGCTACACATGTGAAAACGCACACATTGTAACAAACCTGCAGCAGACTTGTAGCAATGCTGTTCCAACAACTTGTCAACAGGATGTGTTCGCACTGCTAGTTCCCAGTTTGTTTAATAGCTGTCAACGGCTTGTTGACAACTTACTACAAAGTTGTTGAGCTCAACAGACTTGTTAGAAGTTGTTCCAACAACTTGTTATCGTCCTGCGATTCAACAATTTGTCGACAAGTTGTGAGTGACAAGCTTGTAGCAACTTGATAAAATAACAGCATTATTACAATTTGTTGATAACTTCCCACACGCCTGTTGCGAACACATCTTGTTGACAAGTTGTGATAGTTTTATGTGTGCAGCTGGGAGACTAAGCGCGCTGTATGACAGTTTCTTATCAGTTGTGTTTTCTTGTTGTAGATACAGACCTTGGAGATGCAGTGTGATAATTCATGTTCTGCTTGGGGAGTGACCAGTTCAAGCGTGACAACTCTACGGGATTGTTCGCGCCTAAGACATAACTACAAGAAAATATCTACCAGAACCGTCGATCGGAGTCTGGTCGGAAATTGAAGATCTCTAGCGTACAAGAGAGCAGAAAAATAAAGCAACTTCTGTTTGAATTGCCAAATGTTATTGGGTGGACGGCTACCGCCGCCAAAGGCACTACCACAGAAAGAAGACTGCTAAAATACTGACTGTTCATGTGTCAGTGTTTCTTGCGCCTCAATTGCACTGAATGAACTAAGAGATAAAAGATTTGTGTACAAATGTATTAGGGATTTTTCGTATCGAAATTGTAAATAGTAAATAAGAATAAAACAACATTTTCAGTTTATTTTTGTGATATGGGAAGCAACTTCGGATTGGACGAACATAATGCTTCAATGAAAATTTGAACAATGAACAACCCAGCCACAATCTCAAATGACAGATAAGCAAGTATATATGATATGATCAATCGTGCATTTGCCTAAAACTGTCGCATGCAACCTACGTTGTGGACTTGTCGTAGACGTAGGTGAGTTGTGTGCTTGATTAACACATTTTTCTGTATTCTGTTCATAGGCAGCCCACTAAACGACTGAATTTAAATTAAAACTGCAGTGAAATTAGAAAATTAACAAAAATACTCACAAATTAGCGAAATATATTGCGAAATATAGCTTATACTAAATCGCCACTCGATTGCACGAACTTAGGTACTCCCTCCACCGCAGAGGCTTTAGTTGCAGGCTATGATTTATACGGTTAATAGTATTGACTATTGAGTATTGAGATACATTTCACTACACTTTACATGGGGGATCTCGGAACACGAGAGGAGAGAACCTTAGCCTAGGCTAGGTATACTTTATACCTATACATCAGTTGGCCGATAGTGCATGCAATCGGGTGGCGATTTAATATAAGCTGCACTAAGCAATACATTTCGCTAATTTGTGATAATTATTTTCGTTAATTTAATTTTATTATTTCACTGACACTGCAGTTTTAATTTAAGTTTATAGGGGCCGGTTGTTCAAAGCTGGGTTAGTGCTATAAACCCTGGGTTAAAATTTAACCTGCTGTTTTAGTTTATATATTTCTACACATCTGTTTGTTTCAAAACTTAGAGAAGAGAAGGTATCGGCTTTTGAACAACCGGCCCTGCAATCGTTTTAATTAGTGGGCTGTCTACATCACTTCCGATCCTTCCAGAGAAAACAATTTTACAGAATCACATTTCAATTTCTGATTAAATCTAGATTATCTGTTTATATTTTCTTCTTTTCTGCTAAATTCGAAAATATAGAAAACTTCCAGACGGTTAAATTCCAGACGAAGGGCTTTTTTTAGAAATGTTCGAAGTTTAATTTATCAATCTTTTAAAGTAGTTACTACCAACGGAAGATGTTTTAGCCTTTAGGTAATCACATTTTCTTTTCTGCTCAAATCAAGTGTTTAAAAAGTCTATGTTTCCTTTACTATAGTATTTAGTCAGGCTGTATTTGGTCATTCAAACTTTATTTGGAAATTCCCGAAGATATGCTATATATAAACCAAACATCATTTCCGTGTATTACGAAAGAAGATACTAGAATCATATTTCAATTTCTGATTAATTAAAGTTGTGATTGGCTTTGCATGAATTAACACATGACAGTAAAAAGTGGAAATATACAGCTGACATAATCATTTTTGCTTGCTCGGACAACAAAATGGAGTGCCAGTACTTCCTTATCGCTTTACTGGTTCTGTTTTGTCGAAATTCATTCACCAGTGCTTCCGAAACCGAAGGAAAAGATGCAGGGAAACAAGCTTACGATCCACGGCCGAATTTTCCATTCGGAGACTACAGGAATTGTGTTTTAAATGGTATCTCGGTGCCTAGACTTGAAACACTTCCCGGTTTGGGCTGGGATAACCTAAGGAATCGCGTATCAGGAATGGTGGTGTTCTTTAACTATTCCCAATGTCGTACGACGGAAGATGGCCGATACCTGATACCAGACGATGTATTCGTAACGCCGATCAAAGAAAGCAAAGCCGCGCTGTTTTCTGAGCTTATTGACCACTGGACTAACTACAGTTCTATGACTTCGACAACTGTAAACGTTGAAGCGCACGAGTCGTTTTTTGGAAGTATTAGTGGGTCTTTCTCGTCGGAATATAGCGATGTGAAAAAACATCAGGTCAGTTTTGACGTGTTTAAACTTGAATTTTTTCTGTGTTGGTGTAGTGTACTCAGGTGAATATGATATTTGTGGTGTTACTCTGAGTGCATATCCACACCGGGCGAGCTTGAAAAATATGCCCGGCCACGGTGGGATTCGAACCTACGACCTTTGGAATACTAGCCCAATGCTCTTCCAACTGAGCTACGCGGTCAGGACGGTTCGAGTAAGTGATATTTCGGAACAGAATCTAGTTCCTTCAATAACTAGATTCTGTTCCGAAATATCACTTACTCGAACCGTCCTGACCGCGTAGCTCAGTTGGAAGAGCATTGGGCTAGTATTCCAAAGGTCGTAGGTTCGAATCCCACCGTGGCCGGGCATATTTTTCAAGCTCGCCCGGTGTGGATATACACTCAGAGTAACACCACAAATATCGTGTTTAAACTTGTTTCTAATACTCGACCGGAAGAGGCTGAGACTGTCAATAGTCACCCGGAAGTGTTTTGTCCTCTTTCAGTTCTAGAAGGTTTTTATATGCTTCTTGTTTCAAAACAACTTTTCCCTTTTATTACTTGAATTTTCGTTTTATTTTATTGATATAATCTTATTATTAATTGAGCCACAAGAAACACGTCAAGACTGATCACTAGCCTTTCAAGTGACGTAATTTTCACTTCTGACCCCAAATTTTATTCCTTCGTGGTAAAAGCAACAAAGGGAACGAATGTTACCTACAATGGATCCCATCCGTACGTTTGAGATATCTTTTTCGGGTAGTTCAGACACAAACCACGGCAGTTTATTGTAGAATACTACCTACACTGGACCACCACGTTTGAAATATATTTTTCAGGTAGTTCAGACACAAACCACGTCAGCCTATATCAAAATCACAATCAACAAAATATAAATCATCTCTAAGGATTAATTATTTTTCCAGGTGGAGGACAAATCAGTCACCTCTCGTACGACGCTACGTTACCGCATCTATGCTGCCCATCTTCAACCTGACGCTCAACTCCACCCGAAATTCAAAACGAGGCTCTTAGATATTGGTGCGCACTTGCAGAACGAAAATATGCACGTCGCGCGATTTCTGTCTGATCTCCTGGTACGAGACTATGGTACACATTACACCACACGCGTTGACTCTGGAGGAATCCTTGCTAAGATGGATCACATTTTGAAATCTTATGTTGCATCAACTGAAACAACTCGACAACAAACTAAAGGTGGGTAGGCAGGTAGGTAGGTGGGTAGATAAGTACAGACACAGTAGGTAGGTGGGTGCAGTAGGTAAGTAGGCAGGTGGGTGAGTGGGCGGTTAGGTAAAGTAGGTAGGTAGGTACAGTAGGTAGGTAGGTGGGCAGGTAACCTAGGTAGACAAATAGGTGGGTGGGTAGGTAGGTAGGTAGGTAGGTAGATAAGTCAGGGTTCGTAGTCTCCAAGACCAAAAAATTTAAAGACTTTCAAAGATTTTTTCTGCCTATTTTCAAAGACTTTTCAAAGACCTTTGAGGGCAATCAGCTGTCGAAAAATTGCGAGTGTAAGCACCATTTTTACCCAGTAATTAGTCCCGTCAAATCACATCCTAAAATGCGCCTTTTCGTCGTTATTTGCGAAAATCTTGCTTCAATCAATCTATTTTATTAGCTAGGAAATCGTATAATCAAATACTCACTAAAGAATTCAAAGAGTTTTAAAGACTTTCTTCGCTTTTTCACACAATTTAAAGACTGACCTCAAAGACCTGCATTCCAATTTAAAGACTTTCAAGGATTTCAAAGACCGCTACGAACCCTGTAAATAGTTGGGTAGGTAGAGGGTCTTAATGGGGGTTTATGGGTGTCAGTTGTCAGCTAAAATTTAAGCCAGTTGTCAGTTGTCAGTGCGATATATTGCAAGCTGTCAGTAGTCAGTTACTGCAAAAAAGCTGACTCATGGTTTTGTCATTATTTCTCAGTTGTCAGTTAGGACATTTTGTCAGTTGTCAGTCAAAAATTCAGGCAAATGTCAGTAGTCAGTTAACCCCATTCAGACCCTCTAGGTAGGTACCAAGGCATTTGATATATCTTGAAGTTCATAGTTTTTCTCTCATTTTTGTTACTAACTCACATTTGTTTTAAAATTAATATTTTCAGCCTCTGCAAGTGCCTCGTTTTTTGGAACGTTCGGCGTAAGTGGGTCAGTCTCCCATTTGAACACACACACAGTCAGTGATACATATACGAAAAACGTCATGGATTCGAAGATCTACACCTTTGGTGGCCCACCCGTGCGAGAAAATTTCACCCTTGAATACTGGGAAGATAATCTCGGAAACAACCAGGTAGCCATTGACCGCGAGGGGGATCCGTTGCATTACATTATAACAACCGAAGCTTTGCCAGAACTACCGGAGGAGATTACATTCAAGATCAGTGCGCTGGTTTTGAAATCTCTTCAGAGATATTACAAAAATAACGCCATCACAGGTACGTGGCTAAAATTCAAGGGTGGGTTGACTACAAACTTTTTGTAGTTCGCTATAACTACAGCTACTTCAAAAATATATAGTCAGCTACAACTACAGCTAATTTTGAACAAAAGTAGTTCGCTACTGACTACAGATACTGCTTAAAAAATGTAGCGAACTATTTCGCTATTTCGCTACTCAATATTTTTTAACTTTACTGTATTTGGAACATCTATATATTATAGCTCAGGCTGTAATGTATAACCTATAACAAATCGACTTACGCGAGTAGGCTAAATAAGACGGCATGGACTTGCACAGTTTGAACAGTTGCACGGCATACTTTATTCGTGCAAATTGAGTATTTATTTTAAGCAAACTGTGTCTTAATAACATTCTATTCTATCAAGTTGCTAACAATTTTAAAAAGTAGCGAATAGCGATTTGCTGTTTGAAAAGTAGTCAACTACTTGGCTACTTTTAGGCAAAATGTAGTTCGCTATAACTACAGCTACTGTTTTAAAAAAGTAGTCAAAAACTACTGGCTACTTGAAAATTGTAGTTCGCTACAGTAGTCAACTACAACTACTTCGCTACTACCCACCCTTGCTAAAATTGGTATATCTAATTTGGGCGGATTTTGCCTCATAGCGCTCGTGCAAGAAGCAAAAAACTTTAAAAATCTTATGTTATGTCATATGACGTACTGTTGAAGGTTACCACAAACTAACACGCAGGGTTTATTTTAAGGCAAATTTAGAACTGCACATATTAGGGATGTTACGAAGCATCACGTGTTTGACTGAGGGGTCAAATGGTGTGTGACTGGGGAGTCAAAGGATTTTTATCTATATTTAATGTTGTAAATTTATAGTTAACGTTGTAATTAAGTTATGATAGACTCTTAATTTGCATATAGGTGGCAGAATAAAGGTGTGGTTGGGTGGGGCCAGACAAACTCGATTCTGGGGTCCCCCCAAACTTTGAATCTAGAGGCACGTAAGTTCTGGCAAAGATTTGTTCACCAAACCACCCACAAAAACTGTTTCAAAACATGTAACTGGGAATTATGTATACCCAATATATAATAACCTTAGACAGCAAAGAATATTAGGTTCTCCCACTCTAATCTCTTTTGGATAGCTTCGCTCGCCCCAATTTTACCTCCTGTTCCATTAACCCAGCACGTATATGATTTGCGAGGAAAATATGAGGGTCTGGTGGTCTTCTTCCAGAAAACATTTAGATTTTTGATGCTCAATAACAGCATTTCTGGCATCTGGAGCATCCACAAGGAAAACAAGTAAATGAGAAGACTGTTTTGAGGTTATATTTTTGTTAATTTGGTGACTGCACATTTGAGTTTTAAGAACTACACAAATGGGTTTAGAACTGCACATTTTGTGTAGAACTGCACGTTAAAATAAACCCTGCTAACACGAACTGGTGTCCGTGCTCATAGAAACGTCGCTAGCTTGAGCTCCTATTGTTTGCTAGCCATCAACGGAAAACATGGCTACGAAACAATGTTTCATGGCTTGCCACTTTTGGAAAACATGGCTAGGATGTTTCCACAACAATATCTAGTTCACCCAAGGCTTTAACACAGTTTTTTCAACTTTTCAGGTTGCACGGATGCTGAATCACCAAACTTCAACTTTCAAGCAAATCTTGACGACAATTCGTGCAAGGCTTTGCAGACCAATTTCACATTTGGTGGCGTGTACCAAACCTGCACACCTACCGGCTCGCCACCCACCGACCCGTGTGTAGGATATACACAAAAAAATCCCAAGACGCAAGGATATAGGTAAGGTGGTAAACAGGCAACGCATTATTGAAGGCACAATTTATTACAATCAATCAATCAATCAACTTTATTTACAAAGGGTTAAAAATATTACATAGCTAATATACCTGGTAAGTTAAAAGACTTATCTTCCCCAGGGCCCTCACTATTTTAGTTAAAAATACGAGTTGAAGTTATTTACAACAACAGAGTGAAATATTAATTACTAGTTAAAAAATAATTTGTTAAAAATGTCCTCTAAAGTCGTTCAGTCCTCTTAAAGGACTCTTAAAAATTCCTTTTAAAGTCGTTTCTCTAATGTTTGAACTTAATGTGTTCCACATCTTTACATAGCCTGTGCACATCCTGTATTACCCGTACTGGTAATACAGGATGTGCACAGGCTAATCTTTACACTACTGTATCCAAACGTATTTGTATATATCTGTTTATGTTTTCCTGGAGGCAAATACAGATCATTTGCAGAGCTTGATCGGGTTGTCTTTGTATGAACTTGTCTGAGTAGAAATAATTATATAAATTATGTGCCTTGACGGTTGATCTTGTCAGCATAAATCACGGATATAAAACGGGCCATTATTTTCTTCTTACATGTAGTTGCCCTTCCGGTTACACTGCAATCCGCTTACACGAAGGAACGCTGGCGACACATTGTAAAACCACGTGTCATGGTTGGTGGATCTTCAGGTCATGTGACACAAACTGTGGTGGAGGAGTGTACACTACCTTCTGGTGTGCAGCCGAGGGCAGTGTCCCACAAGAGTCTGGTAGGTGGGGTTTAAAATATGAGATTAAGAGTTGACACTTTCTAAAGTTGAGCACGAGACCAGGGCGATGTCTGAGCCGATTATAGAATTGTCTCTAGTCGCTTTACACGGCCAGAAGCTTCTCCTGGTTACGTATAAATAAATGCATAAAATTGTCACTCTACATTTTCACTTGCAAAACCCTTCAACATTACCTCAGGGCTTTCAGAATTATGCTGGTGGCTGGGTTGATAAAATAGGCGGTCTAAAAAAAGTCATCCAAATTAACTAGTGTATATTGATTAGATAGCAACACAACGGAACTCTGCAACCAAATTATAATGTATCACTACTTTCATTCTTCAACAAGATAACTTCCGGAGTTAGGATGGCAAATAACTAAATCAGTTTTACGAAATAGTACGTCGTTTTCGAAACTAACCATATAGCCATAACGTAGATCAGGTTGAGGAGAAATAACTTTGTTTCAAAACTAGAGTGGAGGAAGGAGAGCAGATTTGATATTTCAAGTACTAAACCAAGTAACTAACGGTGAACATCGTGGCACCCGCGTATTTTGAAGGCTCTGTAATCCTTAAACTGCTTAGTAAAACCCACCTGTAGGAATGACTTTGACATTGCTTTCCACCATACTTTTCAGGCTATTTATTTGGAGGTCTTTACAGTGACAGTGTCAACAACGTCATCACAAAAGAAAAGAAATGTCCAAATAAGTTTTACCGTCAGAGGTTTGGTCCCAAAGATATGTATGTGTGTATCAGTGACGACTACGAGCTGGGGGCCCAGTACAGCATACCGTTTGGAGGATTTATGAGCTGTAGTGCCGGCAACCCATTGGCAATGACGTCACGTAAAGGTGAGCTTATGTGTGTCAACAATCGTAAAATCACGGCAAAACGGCTGACTAGGTCAGATTTAGAGATATAGTAATGTAAGCTAGAGGAAGTCTGTATTGACAAGGCCTTAGAAAGTTAATTTTTTAAATTTTGTAATACTGACTCAATAAAGGTACCGAACGTCTAGGGAGAACAGTTTAAACCTGATAGAGCTACCCAGTATAAATAAAGTTAGTTTAGGTTTCCTCCTGTAGCAACGCTGGTTCAATAAGAGATGACCTTTATACTGGACCTCTAGGGAGAACAGTTTAGAACTGATAGAGCTATCCAGTATAAATAAATAAAGTTAGTTTAGTTTAGGTTTCCTCCTGTAGTAACACTGGATCAATGAGACGACGGTTACTGGATCTCTAGGAAGAACACTTTAGAACTGATAGAGCTATCTAGTATAAATAAAGTTAGTTTAGTTTAGGTTTCCTTCTGTAGTAACACTGGATCAATGAGACGACGGTTACTGGATCTCTAGGAAGAACACTTTAGAACTGATAGAGCTATCTAGTATAAATAAAGTTAGTTTAGTTTAGGTTTCCTTCTGTAGTAACACTGGATCAATGAGACGACGGTTACTGGATCTCTAGGAAGAACACTTTAGAACTGATAGAGCTATCTAGTATAAATAAAGTTAGTTTAGTTTAGGTTTCCTTCTGTAGTAACACTGGATCAATGAGACGACGGTTACTGGATCTCTAGGAAGAACACTTTAGAACTGATAGAGCTATCTAGTATAAATAAAGTTAGTTTAGTTTAGGTTTCCTTCTGTAGTAACACTGGATCAATGAGACGACGGTTACTGGATCTCTAGGAAGAACACTTTAGAACTGATAGAGCTATCTAGTATAAATAAAGTTAGTTTAGTTTAGGTTTCCTTCTGTAGTAACACTGGATCAATGAGACGACGGTTACTGGATCTCTAGGAAGAACACTTTAGAACTGATAGAGCTATCTAGTATAAATAAAGTTAGTTTAGTTTAGGTTTCCTTCTGTAGTAACACTGGATCAATGAGACGACGGTTACTGGATCTCTAGGAAGAACACTTTAGAACTGATAGAGCTATCTAGTATAAATAAAGTTAGTTTAGTTTAG